ACACGTGGCTTATATTTTCTGTGCCTTCAATAGCTATTACAAGAACGATCCCCCTCCCACAAGCTGCAGTTTTGGTCCCGAAAAGCAAGTATTCTCATTTGTTTTGAACCACCAGCCCAGTTTCGATCTTGGAAAGTAGTGGCAGTTCTTGTTCCACTGAAAATGCGACAAACATATTACCCTAAATTTGTCACACCAGTAAAGCACCCTCGAAGTAACCATCCACATCCCCGACGACGTACATTTCATTTTATCCCCACTGCTTGTGCCTCTAAGAAATTTTAGTGTTTGGCTGCATTAGATCCAGAATTAAAACCCAGTAATGACTAGTAGTAAGTCTATTATTATCTCCTGTGAGTTGTTCAATGTCCACAGCCTGAGCAGCATACAAACTGCTGGCCACCGAACTAGTACTTGTTGAAGAACGTGAAAACCCACTGTTTGCCCTTGAGGTATGTGGGATAAAACTTCTTATGATTTTCTTTTAAGGTGATTTTCTTTTCATGTGCACCATGAGATAATCATTATTCTAAAAAGAAAAAAAAACTATCTGTTGGTGATTTTATGGTGGTTTTGCTGTATTATTTTCTCAGTAAGCCAGATTTTTAGTTTTGCAACAAATTTTTTGTTTTGCTATATTATTTGCTGTTATTGGCATTGCAACTTAAGATAACATCTTACACTGATTGAACTTGCATTTCGATTTGTCACTCATGGTTTCAATGCTGTTATAACTAGATAGTCAATAGTAAATCTCTCTGTTTTTCCTTTTTCCATTTCTATTTGTCATTGAAGGTTAGACAAATAGCACTTCTCTTTTTAATATCCTTCAGCTAGAACTTTGGATCTATCTTCCTCTTCTTCATCAGAACAAAAGGTGGAAGTATCCTCATATGATTGATTATGCTTGCCTTATTGTGATATCTTATTTCTCTTAACCTGTTTTTCATCCTTTTGTTTACAAAGTTAGGAGAGTTGAAATTGGGAGAGCTAGTGGACACACCTCCTCTTGGTTTGGATGAAGCTTTAGCAATCGCCAAATAATGTTTTATCTTTGTTTTCCTTGCAGTTTCTCGAATCACAGGAATATAGTATGTTTACTCGAATAGTTTTTGATATTGCATCCGTGGTGAACATAAGCGCCAGAATTTATGTGAATTTTTAGAATGGATCAATCGAGGTTCATGATTGTTCTTTACAGGGCCATACATTGCGACTTTTATCCTTGCTGGACTTCCTAGATGCATTTATTGGGAAGATATTGAAGGCAGAAAAACTAATGTGAAACAATGAAAATATAAATGTATTAAACACTTCCAGAAAAAAAAACTAGAAATTTTGACTTATTTAGTTTCTGTTATCTAAAACACTAAAAAATAAAAATAAAGAAATATGCTCTGAATGTTACAGCCTTATAAGCTTGTGTGAATGAATAAAAGCTGTGTCGGAGCAGTTTCTTTTTGCTGGATACGCCTTTAGTGAGTTTGAAACTTCATACATTCTGAACTTGTTATGAATGAATTTACCATGTTTCTAAACTTCATTTTCCATTTCTATTTTTGATGATTTTGAAACTTCATAGATTCTGGTTAGTGATTCATCTATATCACGTGCATCCTTAAAGAAGGAGAATGTTCATGTTAAGAAGTTTGTTGTCAATCAAGTTCTCCCTCCATTTGCCACTGACTGCAAGTTTTTTGCAAGGAAAAGGAAGGTATTACTTCAGTTACTGTTTGCAGCTTTGAAGCTTTCAATAACAGTATAACCACCTCCCTCGTCTCTTTTGCACTTGCAGCAAAGGCAAATTAATATTTCTCATTAAAATCAATAACTTCTTTGAGCTGAGGTTTAATCGAAAGACAAATAGTAATCAATTTTTTGATGATTTGAGCTGAGGTTTTGGACAGTTTCTGTGTTACTTCTCAGGCTTTCATGTCCTGAATTCTTCTAAATTGCATGTAAAAATATGCACAATTTTCCTTTACCCTGGAGGAAGCAATACTTTTCTGGACCACCCTTGACATTGTAGGTCTGCGTATAGTCTCCAAAATTATCAGGCAAGGGGAAAATCATATTGCCAATATGGGGTTGGTGTGAGGGGTCTCTTCAGGGGCTTGGTTCCTACTGTGGCACGTGAAATTCCTGGAAATGTTGCTATGTTTGATGTCTATGAATTGCTAAAATTAAAGCTTCTTGGCACATGAAACTTGTTTTATATCCTTCGGAACTGTTTTCTATTTGGTTACCATGCATTACTCTAAAACTGTTTTCATTGTACCTTTTTTTTGGAAACACTTAATTAAAAATATTACATGGATTCGTATATGGAAAAATTATTCCTTTTTTTGTTATATATAAATAAGATTTAAAATACTTTGTTTTAAAAAATTAGATTAAAAAGTACCTTATTTAACAAAAAAAAAAAAAATCTCTTATGATATCTCATACAATCAAGATCATTAAAGAGTCAAGAATCTTTTATAATTAGTATTTTATACATTAAAGGTGATGCAATCCTTGCAATCTCTTATGATCATGCTAGGATTGCCAAATAAAGACCTACAATCAAGATCATTGAAGAGTCAAGAATCTTTTATAATTAGTATTCTATACATTAAAGGTGATACAATCCTTGCAATGTCTTATAGTCATGCTAAGATTGTCAAATATCTTTATTGGTATCGATTTTTTTAATATATTATCATTATTATTATCATTATTACTTCCTCCTCCTCATATTCCATCACCACTAAAATTATTGTAATTATTTTTATTATTTTTACTACAATCATAATTAATAAAATTATTTTTTAATCATTATTATTATTCGTTTAAAAAACTAGGTATTAAAAATTTATATTATTTTAATTTTTTATTATTATTTCAAATTCATTACAAGAAAACAAATGTGATTTTAATTTTTGTATTTTTGTTTCGATATTTTATTTCGAATTATCAAATGATACCTAAATGGCTGGCCCAAGAACGAACGAACGAACAAAAAAAAAAAAAAAAAAGCTTATGGATGGTATGAACCAAGAAATAGGAATTGCAAAATGACCGGACCCGAGGTCGTCCTGCTCCACCTTGCCTCGGTCAACGTGGGGATTCTTCGCATTGACTGGGGAACGAGGCGAGGCCCCCCACCTTGTAATTTTTTTAGACGAGAATAGGATTTGCCCACCCTGCTCCGTTTTGCCTCATTAATAGTGATTTATAATAAATTACTTGACATTTGAGAAATAAAATTATATAAATTGTGTGTGCTTATTATAAAACCTATCAAAACGGAGTAAAATGAGACGAGATGAGACGGATATAAATAGTAAAAAAGGGTTTTGTTTTTTCTGCAGGGATCCGTATCTTTGTTTGGGGGCGGGAATGAGATGATAAATTCTGTTTGGTTCGAAACACGGGATGGGGATGAAGAATTTTTTAAGGGAGTAGGCCGACGGCGGGGATGGCCCAGGGCGGGGTGCCATCCCTGCCAAGAAATGAGAAAAACGTGAAATGCGAAACGCTAATCCATCCAACACCGTCAAGACATATAGATATTCTGAAGCTATTAATACGACAAAAGGCTAGACAATAGAACCAAAAAAGTTGGGAATCTCGAGAAAAAAGGTACAGAGGGGAAGTTGAGGAAACAGCATCCCGAAGTTCCCAAAACCCTAATTGATAGGCCCATCATTTTCTGCAGCATATCTTTCATCCACAAAAATGGTCTATGATGATAAGGAGATACTGTGCTCACAAAAAGTGAAAGGAACAAACAAAAAAGGACAGCGTCCTTAACAAGCAGATTCTTTTCTGGGTCACTTATAATTGCAGTAATAATAATATATATTACTATGATTTTAATATTATTGGAGTAGTTGCATTATTGCCTTACAGAGCTCCCAAGTGTTTGTTTAGATATGTGGATAAAGAATATTTGTTCCTAATTCCTAAGGGGCTGACTTAGAAGGTTAAAGGGTTATGTTTTATTTTTTAGTTTAAATTTTGGGATCATCACCCTAACATTTATTAGTATTGTTGTTGTGTTGATGTTTTTATTTTTAATCCTTCCAAGTATTACAAGCTAAATATTTAGACTAATCTATCACGGTACGTGCATATATAAATATTTTAATTCGAGATCATTTATTTAAATAATTAGAACTCTTTTCACTTAATCCAATTCTCTTTAAGTATTGTTGTTGTTTTTTTTTTTTTTTTTTGGTGATGTGTTGTGAGATACTATAACAATATTAAATTTTTTTAACAAATATATTTTATTTGTATTAACTAATTTACAACTTTTTAAAAACTCATAACAAAACTGGTATAACAAAAAATTGCTTTTAGATTAAAAAAAAAAAAACAACTAAACAGATGTGCTTTTAAAAACACAACAATACCAAAAATCCACTAAATTTCTTAAATGTATTAGATTCATATAGAAGAAAAATTTAATCTCAATTAGTAGGTAAATTGATCCGATAATATTTTTTATTTTTACCGTTTAGTTAGAATTTTGAGATTGACATTAAAAAAAAATCATGAAATTGAGCAATTTTTATTAACCATCAAACCTACTCGTAAAGGTTAATTGTTAAATAGGTTTACTCTTACAAAATATATATACATATATTTACGGTGCACTAATTCGAAATGGGATGACATGCTTAAACCTCGAATCATAATAATAATGTTGAAACAACAAAACTATTTTGAGGATATTCTTACCATTTTGAGGAAAAAAATTAATAATAATAATAATAAAAAAGACCTAACTAAAAATATGGAAAAATAAATAAATTAGTACGTCGTTTCCCTTCAACTTCTTATTAAGTACTCAACTTTGGCTGTGCCTATTTGTTAGGTTTTTTCTTTTGGGGGTGTCTCTCTTTGTCTTGGCTCCTCCTCTTATCCTTTTTGTACGTGCTTAGGATTTTTTAGTTTCTTGTGAGGAGAGGAGGGTTTTAGCTGCGCCAGCAAGAGAAACAGAGAGAGTCTGTATGGCTGAAGAGAGTGTTGTTGCTGATTTGCCACTGAAGAGGCCAAGAGAAGACGAAGAGAACGGGGCCTCTGCTGCCACTGAAGCCATGGAGATGGAAACCAACAGCAACGATTATATTTCCTCTGTTATTCCTGGCTGGTTCTCTGAGATTAGCCCAATGTGGCCTGGTATTTCTCTTCTCTAAGTCCCTTCATTTTTGCCTCCTTTTCTTTTGCTTACATCCAAAAAATACAATGAATCTTGAAAAGTTAAAGACCTCTCTCTCTCTTTTTCATGTTTCTTTGGAATGCGAGATGGTATACTCATGTTGCTTTGCATAGCTGTTGATCTATACGAATCATGGATGTTGCAGCTTATGTTTTTATGTTTTATCTGAGTAGTTCAATTTTGGGTTGTTAAGGCAGTTTGCCTCGTATGAGATGTGTTTTTTTTTTTTGTTTATGCTCAATTGGTAATCATTGGGGTACTTTTGCTCTGAGGATTTACAAATCGTTTTGGTGTTCTAGTGTTCTTGTCCTTGTCTTCACTTCAGGGACTTTTTTTTTCCATCATTATTTTTATGGTTATGACAATCCTCCTCTGGAATTTGTAACTTTTGTGGTTAGGCCATTAAATGTTCTAATACACCCTTAACACGGACGTAAATGAACATTAGTCTAGGCCCTTGTACCTGATTTGTGGGAATCGGCTAACATCTGCTCTGTCTGCTCTTTCCTGTTGTATGTCTTTGAATTTCATTCATCCTACTCTGAATGCTTCTTAAAAAATTGGTATTTATGCAAATGTTGGGAGTTTTGATACTAAGAGGATTGTGGAGAAAAGGGCTGGGTTTGCATTTACTAACAAATTGATTTCTTGTGTTGTTTTCCTTCAATTTCAATCCCTGTGCCACTGATTGAGGCTAGTTTGACAACCTTGATTAGGATGATTTGCAGTTTTTAGAATGTCAGCTAATTTGTTGCACCCTTCTCTGTTCTGCACTTTAATGTTTGTATATTTGGCATTCTTCTCTGTAATGTAATGCAAACCTGAAGCCTGTTATCTTTGCCAACTATATTGTATTTTTACCTGCTCGTGGTTCTACCCTTTCTGAACCCCACGTTTTTGGATTTTATATCTTCTTATGAGATTCACTTTTGAAATCTATAGGAGAGGCACATTCCTTGAAAGTAGAGAAGATCTTATTTCAAGGGAAGTCTGACTATCAGAATGTTATGGTCTTTCAGGTAATTAATACTCTGGAGATGTGCTAATCTTTATGTCTCTTATACGTGCCAAACTTTTTTTTTATAACATATATTGATGCTAAATTATGCATCATGATGCCCTTTTGCAGTCATCAACATATGGAAAGGTTTTAATTTTAGATGGGGTGATTCAGCTTACAGAGAGGGATGAATGTGCATATCAAGAAATGATCACTCACCTTCCACTTTGCTCAATTGCAAACCCAAAGAAGGTATAGAATCAAAGAATTGAATGGAAATGCATTTGCATATATTAGTGCCATTTGAGCACAGTTACATGATACATTTCAGTTAGTATTTCATTCCTACTTGGGATTTTGCACCATCAATGTGTAGTTGATGCATTGATGTGCTTACGATATGTTGGCAGGGCATGGGCCATTCAAATGCTCATAATTAGTTTTATGGAATGAGAGATAGTAGAGATTAAATGCATGATTTGGTTAGTTTCTGCCAATTTAACCCGGAGCCTGTAGCAACAATTTGGTGCGGTGGCAATTTTACTCCTTTTCATTCAAAGTTACATGTTTCTGAAGATGGAATTAGGACACAGCATTTCTTATAATAGAAAGCAGCAAACGTGTCAAATTCAGCCTTTTAGAACCACATCCAGAGGATATGGAATTAAAAAAAGTAGAAGATGAAAGAGAAAATCAACACCTATTTGACTTTTGAGAATTGCCAATCTATAGAAGTTAGAACCAGAATTCTGTTCAATGCTGTTCAAAATGGGGTGGAAGATGCTGACCTGATTGGTTTAGTTTTATGTTCACTTGGCTACGTTCAGTTTTCGTCGTCTGTAGTATTATATACCATAATTGCACAATATAAAACTTGGTTTCTCTTTTTTCTTTCAAATTCTTAATATTTTTTTTCTCCATCAGGTTTTGGTTATTGGTGGAGGAGATGGTGGGGTCCTACGAGAAGTGGCTCGGCACTCTTCTGTTGAGCAGATTGACATGTGTGAAATAGATAAGATGGTGGTTGATGTGAGTAGAACCCTTAAAGCCTCTTTCGTGCTTTGGCTGTTTTCTGGATTTCTAATGGTTACATTTGTGTTGAGTTTGATCTCATTAAAGAAGTAGATTTGACTTCTTTCGATTGTTTTTGCTGGGTTGATTCCAATTATATACATTTAGGACCCAAACTTTTCAAGTATCCTTGAAACAGTCTTAATATTGTAACGAATTCTTTTTGTCTTCCAGGTTTCTAAAAAATTCTTCCCTGATGTAGCAGTTGGGTATGAGGATCCCCGTGTGACTCTCCATATTGGTGATGGTACAAACTGCTTCTTCCTTCTTCCAAACCTCCACCCCCTCCTTCTCTCTTTTTATCTTGTGAATTCTTTTCTTTGAATTTGCAGGAGTTGCATTTCTAAAGGCTGTTCCTGAAGGTACTTATGATGCAATTATAGTAGATTCTTCCGATCCAATAGGTAACAGCACCCCTGCTAGCTGGTGCAAATTTGTACTCTTAAGGAAAATTGAGAATTATCTTTTTTAATTTAGTAGCTCTTAATGCCTTTTTCCATCACTCAGGTCCTGCTCAAGAGCTTTTTGAGAAGCCCTTTTTTGAGTCAGTAGCTAAGGCTCTCCGTCCAGGAGGAGTTGTGAGCACACAGGCAGAAAGTATATGGCTTCACATGAACATCATTGAGGATATTGTGGCAAACTGTCGTCAGATCTTCAAAGGATCCGTCAACTATGCATGGACTACCGTTCCTACTTACCCAAGGTTTGTACTTGTCCTCTGCCCTCTCCATTGTAGTAACCCTCAGTGTCTACATATGACAGAGACCTCTCTCGTGGAAGTAAAGGCCCTTGTTGTCTATCAGAACAGTCTATTTCCAGCCTGATCCTTACTATCATCAGTAGTTGTGTTTTATTTATTTTATATATCAGTTGCTCTATGTGCTTTATTGCGGTAAGTGGATGGATATATGTTGTGTTCTTCGTTGCTAATGTTGCTTGGATTTATTTTGTGTCAGTGGGATGATAGGTTTCATGCTTTGCTCGACTGAGGGACCCCCTGTTGATTTCAAGCATCCAGTTAATCCTATAGATGCTGATGATAAGCAAAGCAAATCAAATCCTTTGAAATTTTACAACTCAGAGGTGAGAGGCTCCATAGCAATTTACTTTTCTTGAATGAGCCCATGGTTCTTCCAATTCGTTTCACTGAATGGTATTGTTCTGTTCTCAATTTCAGTTGCATACAGCGGCTTTCTGTTTGCCTTCTTTTGCAAAGAAAGTGATTGATTCAAAAGCCAAATAATAGAACGTTGGAGATCAGTGAAGGAGCAGGATTCAAAGCTGTTGTCAATTGTTTGGCCTTCATCCTTTCTGAAAGGTCTATCTGGCAATGAGTTATGGAATAAGTTAGGTTTAAATCTATGTTCTTAGCATGGTTTAATTGGGAGAACTTGATACTCTGTTATTTATGGATTTGAAGGATCAGACCTACCTTAAAATTATTACCGATTTCATGAAAATTTTCATAAGTAATCAGGTAGACCTTTTAGTTTGATATAATAAGTGGTTTTTCGAGTTGCCTCGTAAAACTTTCAATCATGACATCTCGTGTGACCTTCCTAACTGAGACATGCTTTTAGGTTCCTGCTTCGTAGAAGTCAGATCATCCAGTCTGAGAATCGTTTCTACTTGCGTAAAGCCCACAAATTAAACACCGTGCGGCTGCTATGAAGGTATTATAGGAAACGATATGTGGCGAAACTACCCTGCAATGTTCTCAACTCGGACCAGGACTTTTAATTTTCAGCAATTTTGGTTCAAAAGGGTAAAGAGATGCCCTAAAGGGGTATGCTGTCTTGTAGAAATTTTAATTTCGATTCTCTCAGCATTCGGGGTGTGGTGCCACTTTTGGCAAGGATGTTTAGCCCTGAGAGCAGCAGGCTTAACAAATACAAACTCGAAAACGAAAAGGGGGACCAAACGCCTGAGCCTCCTTGGACTTCCCATCGCACGTACCAACGTTTTCTGAGCATGTTCTCATCCTACATGCCATGGTTTTTTTTTTTTTTTTTAAAAAAAAGGGTATTTTAGCTAAAATTTCTCGTAACTACCTTGCTAATATTATAAAAAAAAAAATGATAACAATAATAGAATAAAAGAAAAAAATGATAGAAAAATGAAGTTTATTATAAAATAAAATGAATACAATAGATAACAACTTCAAATAATTTTTTCAATCTCTACAAGACACTTTTACACAAATTAATTAACAATTAAGTCTATTTATAGGTTTCAAGATTATGAAGACGATTGAAAAAGATTATAAACTATTAAAATGTGCATAAATAATTAAATAAATTACATCACTTTTTTAATTTCTCATATTGAATGATGAATTGAATCACTTGAGTATTAAGAATATAAAATGATCATGAAATTCATTATATTATAACCCTCCTCGTTCAATGTCCATTGTGCAAAGAATATGCCTCTTTAAAACCTTATTAGAAAAAACCCAGTGGGAAAAAAATCCTAATAAAGAAAAAAAAGTACAACATTTCTTATATGCATTAATCTCTATGTTGGGCTCCCCATATTGAAAACATCATTTAAAATCTTTAAGTTGACGCATCTCGCTCTTGCAAATCATCTTCTAAAAAATTATGATAGGTAATGCTTTGGTGAATAAGTCTCGCCGAATTGTTACTTTGATGTGTCCTTCCTTTAATTGAATTATGCAAGCGTATTATCTTCATATGATATTATTGAAACTTATTTACCGGTAAATAAATCGTATGTATTTCGAATATAATGAGTCATTGATCTTAACTAAACACATTCTCGACTTACTTCAAGAATTGGTATTTCGCATGGTTTGAATATGTAGTGGATATACTTTACTTCATAGAACATTATAATATAGGTGTAATATCATATGTATAAATCATAATCCATTTGTGATCGAGCTTTATATGGATCGGATAAATAACATGCATCCGCATAACCAATTAATTTTGTTTTTGATTTATTGGAGTAAAATAAGCTCATATCAATTATTCCTCAAAGATAACAAAGTATATATTTAATTCCATTCTAATGTCTTCGTGTGGAAGAAGAACTATATATTGCTAATAAATTTACGTGAAAATGCTATATCGTGTCGGTTATTATTAGCAAGATACATTAATGCACCAATAACACTAAGATATGGTATTTCAAGACCAAGGAGACCAACTAGTTTTTCGTTAACTTCTCAAGGTAAAAAATGATCTTTTTGAATATTAAGTGAATGAACTATCATTGGGTTAATCAATGGATGAGTTTTATATAGAATAATTGTAGAATTTTTTCTACATAACTTGACTGATGAATAAAATTTTCATTCTCTAAGGTGTCATTTGGTTACCAAGAACGAAAGGTTAGGAATGAAAATGCAGGAATCGAAATAAAAATTAAAAAATCGAAATGATATTTGTATCTTCATATTGTATTTGAAATACTAATAAGGAATCAAAATAAAATTTAAATTTTTTAATATCTAATTTTTAATACGAATAAGAATAATAATTAAAAAATAATTTCATCGACTAATAATGATAGTAAAAATAATAAAAGTGATGGTGGTGGTGGTGGTAGTCAATACATAATAAATAAAAATAATTTATTATTATTTTGAAAAAAAATTCATTCTCGTTCATTATTTTTATTCCCACCTTCTACATGAGAATGATGCTATGTGTAATTTTTATTCTCATTTCCACCATTCATTCTCATTTTCACTTTATTTCTTTCAATCAAACGGATACAAGATGTGAATAAAACTTTCATTTTCATTCCTACAACTCCATTCCTAATAACCAAACAGAACATAAGTGCTCAAATTGCATATCGATATAAAATTTTATTTTCCTAAGGATTTACATCAAATTCTCTTTTTAGATAACTCGTGGGACTTGAAATATCTTCAAGAGTTATAATAATATTTAAATCGTCAACATATACATAATTATCACAAATCTCTTTTTCAAATTTTTTTATAAAAACACATGAAAAAATAGGGTTATTTTTATAATTTTTTTTCAATAAATATTTATTAAAGTGATTATACCACATGTATACGAGTTAGTAATAAATAGTAGATATTGAAAAAAAATATATAAAAATTATAGCATAAATTGAATTTATTAAAACTAAAATAATAAAACAAATACTAAAATAATCATGATATAGATCTCTATAATTTAATGAAATTTATTTCTTGAAAATTTGTATTAAATACTTCGGGTATCTTAAGTCTTTTTAGGACCTTTAAAAAAAAATTAAGTGAATAAATAAGTTATGATCACATTCATTAAATACATGCATATGAAGTTTTTCATATATTTTCTAGGATAACGAAATGTAATTACATCCATTATAAGAAAATATGTCTCCTCATAGTCAATGTTAGGTCTTTGCATAAACCTTTGTGTTGCAAATCTTGTTTTGTATCTCGCAATCTCATCTTTCTTATTTCATTCTTGCACAAATACCTATTTGCATCTCATTGACTTAACATCTTTAGGTGTTTTGACTATGGATTCAAAAATAAATCATTTTATAAAATAAGATAATTATATCTAGATTGCTCTTTTTATTTAGGTCAATCATCTCTATGTCGATATCCTTCAATAAATTTAGGCTCGGGATCCTTATTTCATTCAAAAATATCAATTACAACATTATATGAAAAAATATTATCAATAAATATTTCTTTTCGATCCCATTTGCTTCGTGTATTGATGTAATTTATCGAAATCTCTAGATTTTTCTCAAGCAATTTGAATTTTTCTGAAAGCCTATTATCAAAAATATCTTGAATCATTTTTGTGAATATATGCTTTTTTGATATTTCCATCTTGATTATTTGCTCTTTTCTTTTGAGATTTTTGTCTTTAAAATTAATCGATCTTCCACGCTTTAAACATGTTTTAGATTCATTTGTTATAACATTAATAGATTATCCTTCTAGGAAAATTCTAAAATGAGCATTCTCAAGTAGGGATGGCAATTTACCCCGCCTCGTGTCAATTTTCCTTGGTCAACGCAGGGATTCCTCGCGTTGATCGAGGAACGGCGAGGCGGTGGATGGGATTTGCTCGCCCGGCCCGTTTGCCCCATTTATCCCATTTATTTTTTTCATTAAAATTATAATTATACCTCATATAAAATCTATAATTAGTGACTTTTAAGGTTTATTTTCTATATAAATTATTATTTTTTTTGCTATAATTTAAAATTTGATAGTAAAATTGGATAAAATGAGACGAAAAAAAAATTACCTCGTATACGCCCCGTTTGGGGCGAGGAAATTTTGCCCCATTCGGGGCACGGGCCGGGGATGGGGAAAATTTTTTACCCCGTCCCTACCCCGCCCCATTGCCATCCCTATTCTCGTGAAAGACATGTATTTTAGTTACTTTTTTTGGATTTGAGAATACATCTTATAGTTGGTCCGTAATACTTTATAAATGAATTATCTTATGAACTTCTAGTTTATATTGTTTCGTACAAGGATCAAAATGATGTAAAAAAATAAAGTACTTCATATATTCTCTTTTTAATACTTTCAACTCGTTTATTTTGCTTGTTCTCCCCTTCTCATATTGGAAGAATTGTTTCATCAAAATAATAATCAATAAATCGAGTTGTAAAAATATTTCCTTTTACGGGTTTAAGTTATTTAATTATCAAATGGGATTCATATCTAATAAATATTTTCTATCTTTTTTTAGGGTTCATTTTAGTTCATTGTGGAGAAGCACTAAAGATATATACCGCACAACTAAAAATTCTTAGATGAAAAATATTTAGCTCATGGCCATGAACCAATCGAAGGGGAGAATTTCGATAACTTGTGAATCTAATACAAATATGTATTATTGTATGTAAGATTGTATGTCTCTAAATGTAAACAAGAAGTTTTGTTTTCATAAATAATGGTTTAGCTATCAATTTGAGCCTTTTGATAAATGATTATGCTAAATCTTGTTTAGTATGAACATGAGCAACTCGGTTGTTCAACCTTTATTTTAATAGTCAATCAATAATCATTTAATGCTTAAGAGATAAATTCACCATCATTATCAAGACGAATTGTCTTAATAATATAATTTAGAAATTATGCTCGTTATCAAGTTATTTGAACTAGCAACCTCGAAAATACCATATTGTGAGTAGATAATAAATATACATATGATCAACTTATTGATGCATCTATTAAAATCATAAAATATCTAAATGATTCACGTAGTGGATGAATTTGTCCATATATATCACCTTGAATACATTCTAAACATATTATCTCAATTTTACTTGGTGATGGCTTAATAATTAATTTACTTTGAGAACATATAGAATATGAAAATTCATTAAATTGAATAATTTTCTAACTCTTTAATAGATGTCCATATAAATTTTTAATAATTTTTTGCATCATGAAAAATCCAAGATAACCTAAGCGGTTATGTCACATAATAAAAATATTTAAATTAGTAAACTTCGATCTACTATATATTTGTTTTAATCATTCAATATTTGGAATAAAGATCGAAGAGAAAGCGGGTAATTTGTTGAATACATATTTTCTACTCGATATAATAATTACAATATATAAGTATTCAATAATTTATGTTTGTACTCGTATTGATATGATATCCATTTAGATGAATATTTTTGAAACTCAACAAATTTTTATGAGACTTTGAAAATAAGAATGTATTATTTATAATAAAATTGTCATTTTAGGTAATAATATATTTGTCCTTCCGGAGCCTTTAAAATTTATCCATTCAAATAATGATATATTCGCTCTTCTAGATGTTTTAAAATTTGTTTCCTCAAGTAATAATATACTAGTTATTCTAGAGCTTTCAAATTTTATCTCTTTAGATAATAATATATTCGCTCTTCTAGAGCCTTCAAAATTTGTCTTTTCAAGTAATATAGTCGTCTTCCGGAGCTTTCTATTAGAATGATACTATCGGATATAATATTAACTCAAAATATATAATTAAATAAACATAAAAAACATATTCTTCATATAAATAAATAAATAAATAAATAATTTTGCAACTATCACCGTATAATAGAAATTATAAAAAAAAACATAAAATATCTTATTTATAAATAAAAAAGCTAACAATTTATTAATTTGAATTACAATCATTTTGATATATAAATTTGGCCTCTCTATTTTTTTTTTCAACGAGGCTTGATGTTTTGATGTACGATAAGTATGCGACTAATGTCCTTTCATATCACATCCGTAACATGTATTTTCAAAATGCTAACTTAATTTATTTTTATTTATTTTTATTTTTTTATAGTTTATCTACTTCGATGGTGGGGTTTATTATTATATTCATTATGATTTTCAAAACCTAATTTTCCCCCTATTATTTTATTTATATTTATATTTTGTCACAAAAAGAAAAAAAAAGATGATTTGAAACAAATAGCTCGGAATGCTAACTTAATTCATTTTTATTCTTTTCTTATTTCTCTTTATAGTTTATCTACTTGTGGTGATGAGGCGTATTATTATGTTCATCATTCACCATGATTGTTAACAAACAATTTTTACCCCTATTATTTTATTTATTTTTTATTGCAAAAATACAAGAAAATAACAATAAAAAAACAAAACATACCAAGTATAAAAATAAAAAAAAAGGGAAAGAAAAAAACATTTGAAATAAATACCTCGGATTAGTTTTAGGGGGTTATTAAAAAAAAAGTTAAAAAAACGATAATTGAGGGTACAATTAAAAGATCCAAAACCTCAATCCTTTAATTAAAATAAAGAGAGAGCATAATTGAAAGAAATTAAAGAGAAAAGTCCCGACTAATTAAGATTTAAGAGTCCCATTGAAATGAATAATCAAAGTCAAACTTAAATCGATGGATTGTAGAGAATCATGGATCAAAATAAATTTTTACCTAAAAAACCTAAGAGTCATGTATAAAAGCCTTTCCTTTGCATTTTTTTATACTAGTTGCTATTAATCTCCTTCAAAACTTTCATCTAGCTAACTTCCTCTCTACCGTAACAAAAACCTTCACCCAAAACTTCCTCTCCCTTACACACCATCTCCCTTGTAAAGCTCCCTTACCCCAAACCAAGCAGCCTCCCTACATTGCAACAACCCCTCATCTCAACAACCTTTGCAGCCGACCCTTCACCAAGAGCCTCTTACCTCATAGTCCTTACAGCCAGTCCCTTACCAGCTTACACCTCCATATCGTAACAGACCCTTCACCTCTTAGCCCTTACAACCATCCCCTCACCAGTTGCCCCTTCACATCGCAAGTAGCCCCTCAACTTATAGCCCTTACAGCCTAACCCCTCACTAGCAACCCTCAACATTGTAATGACCCTTCACCTCGTAGCTTTTACGGTTAGCCCTTCACTAATAGCCCCTCACATTGCCATAACTCCTCACCTCACAACCCTTATAGCCAGCCCCTCACTAGTAGCCCCACATCGTAATAACTCCTCACCTCATAGCTAGCCTCTCAACAACGACCCCTTACATCGCAACGAGCTTTCACCTAGCAGCTCTTACAGCCCAACCCCTCACCAATAGCCTCTCTACATCACAACTGCCTCTCACCTCACAACCTTTGTAGCTAGCCCCCACCAGTAGCCCCCATACCATAACAGCCCCTCACCTACTAGACAACCAAGAATCGTCCATATGTAGCTCCTCACCCGCCATAATGCCGCCCAACCAATCCCTTACCTTCTAATTCCACGCACGACCCCTTACCTACCAACCATCTAGTAGCCCTCGTAATAGCCCCTTACAAGCATCGACTAACAACAACCCTCTTTCACACAAAATAACTAATTTTTCTCCATTTTTAAGTTGAAACTTATATTCAATAAAAAACATTCTCCTCCTCTTTTTTAGCTCAAAAGTCTACCAAAAACTCCTCATTTACCCCTTATTTAGGTCAAAGGTTACATCTACAAAGTCATCACCTTTACCACCTCTTTAAGTTGAAAGTTACAGCCATAACCTTTTTTGTCCATTTTGGGCTAAGAGTTGCTACCATTCTAGACACCATTTTAGGTTAAAAGGTGTTACCATTTCTAGCCATTACTCACGAGTAAAACAAAACAAAAAATATAATGTGTTATGTGTTTGACACTAAACATTAAATGACAGAACATATATATATATATATATATATATATATATATATATATATATATATAATTGTTGTTTGATTGATTGAGTTTGGTAGGATTAACATGATGTTGTAGATTATGTTTGTGTTAGTTTTTGATGTAAAAAATGTAGCAACTACTTTATGGCCGTGTCCCTTAAAGTTACAAGCAACATTGGCAATTTTTAAAGAAGTTAGAGATTTATAGAGTTATTATAAATTTAGAGATAACTTTATCAAATTTATAGTAACTTTGGTAGCAACAACAACTTCAATTATTTGTATTAACCTTGGAGGAATTTTTAATCACCTTAGCAGGACACATATAATGTTTTGATAATAAGCAAATGCTCTCCTTCCACGACTAATCGAACAATCGCTTATCATTAGGGATGAAAATAGTAGAATTGATCCTCAAATCAAACACTTGAACTATGAAATATTTTTAGGTAAAACCTCTAAAATGATTATACTCTTTAAAATATGAATGAAATTATTGTATTTTATTTATATATTCATGGTTTAAATATAGTTGAAGTGAATGTTATTGTAATTGCCATTATAAATGAATTATCTCGTTTAAACATCCGCATTTTTAATGTGAGTTTGTGCTTTTTTTGTGGCTTGATTGATTTGACATATTTGGTTGCAATGTACCTAAAAGTGTAATAGTTATATCTAAGGCGTATAATTCAATTTCACCGTTTTTTGAAATCATTCTTTTTTTGTGTTCTATTAGTCGTAAAATAAGCCACCGATGACTTCCCACCTATGTGGACGAAGTCGTCATCGGCCCCAAAACCATTTTTCTACCAAAAATGTTTGTGAAAATATAGTTATTGGTAATTTTTCACTTATGTGACAAAGTCACCAATGATTTTGACATCATTCGTAATATGTTCTGTTTGTTAAAAAACATGCCATTATTGATTTCTCACCCATGTGGATCAAACCACTAATGACCCCAACATGATTTTTCTCCTAAAACTCGTTTATAAAAACACAAGCTTATTGGTAATCTTTCAATTATGTAGCAAGGTTATCAATGATTTTGATATCATTTTGCATATGTTATGCTTGTCGAAAACGAGTCATCGATGACTTCTCATCTATGTGAACGAAGTCGCTAAGTGGCCCTAAAACCATTTTCCTCCAAAAATATTTATTAAAATAAAGTTATTGATAATTTTTCACTAATATGACAAAGTCACCGATGATTGCAAAATCATTTTGCACATGTTTTGTTCGTTGAAAAACGGTTCCTAGTGGCTTTCCACTTATGTGACGAAGTTGCTAATAGTTTTTAAACCAGCTTATTTGCTCCCTATTTCGAGCAAAATAAAAGTTTTGGTGACTTTCCACTTATGTGATAAAGTTGTCGATAATTTCTTAAATCCATGACTTGATGTTGTTGGCGGCTTTCCATTTGTATGAGCGAAATTGTCGATGACTCGCTACTCATGTTAATAAAAGGCTATCAATCTTTAGAAACTCGCCTACTTGTTGATATATGTCGTGTTCACTAAAGATTAGCTAAAATTTTAACTTTTCTCACCTTTTTCCCTTTCGAGTGGGGGTATTAGCCCTAGATCGACTCGAACCGCTAAACTACTTTGTTTTTACATCTTAACAAAATAAACTTATTTAAATAGATATAAAAGCATAACATAGTAAAAAAAAATAGGTTTTTATTTCATATACATTTATTGCAGCCTACCTTAAGGAGGACGAGATTACGATGATGTCATATAACCTAAATATCTTTACGGACTAGTATATTTAGGATTTTCTAGTTTTTCTCGATTAGTTAGGTGGTGACTCTTGGTCACCCACGATCCTAACTCGTGGGCTACCAACAACAATGATTACAACAATACTTATTCTAACCATGATTATAGTTATATCCATGTCCATGGCCACGACAACGTCTTCATCCATACCTGAATTATTATAAATTATCAAATTCATTTCGTAAAATGCAAGTATACCCAATTGGATAAGATTCATAATTTTTCATTAATAGTTCATTATTTTGTTTAAGCATAAGCAAGCATGAAATCAATTCAAAATATTTGTTAAAACCCTTTTCTCAATATTTTACCGTGAGAGCATATTCAAGGTATAAAAAGTAGAAAATGTTTTTTTAGCATCAAGCACTCATGATCAATAATTCTTGCCTAGAATGTTAAAGGCCACAAAATCAAGATTTATGAGATTTGATATGATCAAAATTTTATAATGTAAGATATAATAATTAATTTTTAAGAAATAATAAGAAAAATAATAATAAAATTTAAACTTTTCAAACAACATACATCGAATATTAGATTATATATATCAAATTATTTAAGTTTTTCAAACGTATACTTTATATGTCATTAGATTTAAAGTACATAATAAATTAGATACATATCTCTTAATAATTTAGATAATTTAGATCTTTTGGTAGAATACTCGTGTAGAGAAACAATCCAATAATTGAAACAAAAGATTGAGTTTTTTGGTAGATACATACCTCATAGTCTATTATCCCGATTGGTTAGAGCTTCATATTGATAACATGTTATAAAAGAAATGATAACAATAATAGAATTAGAGAAAAAGATGATAGAAGAATGAATTTCACAATGAGATAAAATGAATACAAGAGATAACAATTCTAAACAATTCTCTCAATCCCTACAAAACACTTCGCATAAACTAATAAACAATTAAACTTATTTATAGCTTCAAGATTAGGAAAAGAATTAAAAGAGATTATGAACCATTAAAATATGCATAAATAATTAAATCAATTGTATCATCCTTTTTAATTTCTTGTATTGAATGGTGAATTAAATCATATGAGTAATAAAAATATAAAAAATTATGAATATTCATTATTTTATACCAGCTTAATATATTATTTTTGTTTTATATATAGGCTTATTGTACCATAAAATTATGAACTTTACACCTTTTAATTATTTTGGCACTTTCTTTTAAAAGTAGAAGGAAAATACATGAATTAAGTTTCCCATAACCACATTAGCATGATAGACATTTTTCATCTAAAATTATGATTTCATTTGATATGGCATGACATGTAGGATGTCATAATGGATTGCAGTTCACATATGATGATACTTGGTCAAAAATTAAAATTTCCTTATAACGTGACAACATGTCACCCACTCGATTATATCTCGATTTCAAAATAATTTCTCATAATACAAACCTAAATCAATTCATAAAAATTCTTAATCTTCTTCTCTTCTCTACCCGATGAACAAAAACCTATTCCTCTCCCCCCACAAATCTTTAAGCAGTACCCATTCCTCTTCCTTATAAATGTTTAACCAAGTACTCTTTTCTCCTTATAAAATTTCAAAACTAAAACTCACATATGTAATTGCATAACTTTCGGGAATATGGTTTGGCCGACATGTAACCATATTTGGCAAGTACTATTAGAAGCCGAGAGGAGATTAATTTTGATATAAATAACAAAAAGAAAACATTAATATAGAAATTTTTAGGTCACAATTCTTTTCCGTTGGGATTTTTTTTCCTCTCAAATTACAACTTAAATGAGATGTTCAAGTTTTATTTATTGAATAGGGAGGACAAGATCTTGTAATACTGTAGCATTGTAGCCTATAAAAAATCAATTAGTGGGCGAGCAATCGCTCTACGTAAGTTTTAAAATCATCTCAACTCCATCATTTGTTTAATGAATAATCTTTAATGACTTTATTAGTAAGCTAAGATAAAATCATTTTTGAAATTTCGTCTACTAATTTAAGTTTCTTAAATCAAGATAAATGATTTTTTAACAACTTTTGTTCATACACAAAGGGAGGAATTACGATAGTCGATGCTTTTTCTAAATAACTATATTTTGGTCGTGTTAAAGTATAAGATCAAGAATTGCAATTAGTTTGCCATTTTTCTCTTTTGTTTTGTTTCTTTCATTCAGCCATTGTTTGATGGTTCTATCAATCTTTTTTCTCTTTTCATTTATTTTTTAATCCCTCGTTATATTTCTATTTGAGATAACAACCAAAGAGGTGTAATAAAACAAGAGGGAGAAAGAGTAAACAAATAAACATAGAGTAAAAAAAAAAAAAGCAAAAGAGAGTTATTTTTTAAGGAGGAAGTCTCCGGTTTTCTTTAGGATTTTGGTTCTAGAGAGAGAAAACAAGGAGAGAAAGGAAAAAAAAAGGAATAGATTTTTAAGGAGATAGAACCCGTAGGGGAAAAAAGAAGAAGCAAAGAGTGGATAGAAAAAAAACAGAGAAACTTTATTTGGGATTAAAAAAATGCAAATTGAGGAATATATTTCTTTGGGATTTTGATTACGGATTGCAAAGTTTTCAACCTGAAAAAAACAAAAACCCTCAAATTCTTCAATCAAATAAACGGCCTCTTAATTCACGATGAAGATAAGAAACTTACCACAATTGATGAAAAATGGCTCAATTCAAAGAAATGAGTGAAACAAATGTGATTGAATTCTTGATACGAGAGACAAAGATAGAAAATAGAACCGTAGAAGGGCATAAGTTTAGATTCCTAGAGAAGAAAGAATCGAATTCATAATTTATAATGTAAACATAATTATAGTTTAACTTAATTTTGAGATGTTAGCTAAAGAGTATAGCAAGTTTGATTAGGAAGTTATGTAATTGAACGTGTGGGTTTTGTTTTTGAAATTTTATGAGGAGAAATGTGTACTAGTTAAAGATTCATAAGGGAGAAGAATGGGTACTGCTTAAAGATTCAATGGAGTAGAGAAATAAGTTCTTATTTGTCGTGCAGTAAAAAAGAAGAAGATTAGATATTTTTAGGGTTTACCCATATTTAGTCCATGTATAGTTTCAATTTTTTTTATTGAAACCGTCTATAATTTTTTAACTTGATTGAAACCCTCTACTTTTATAAATTTATTGATTCAAACCCTCCATTATAACGTTATTAAATACTCATCCTATGTGGCAAGTTAAAACTAATGGTAACCAATCATGCATAGACATATGTCGATCTAGGTCCCAAGTAACGAGTATCTCCAACCAAAAAAAAAAAAAGTTAAAAACATTTTTATTATTAAACTAATACTTAATATTTATAAATTATTATGAACTACCATATTGCCCTCTCCCATTCTTCCTTTCTCTCTCATTGGAAATTCAAACCCCTAAATTCCTAAAACCCTATAGCCACTCGTCCACCCCATCATCCCCAACCCCGTAAAATTTACGACCTTGTCAAGTTATCGGTCGAGCCTAAGTGAATCATCGATGGTGGTAATATCAAAATTATAACCTTTGCTGCCATTGCTCTACTCGCACTTAGACTAGCTCTCTTCTTCAAACACAAGCGAGAATTTCTCAAAAGCATTCTTCCCATATCAAAGATGAAGCTCTTAAAAGGAATTCTCATTGCATGTGTTCTTGTTCTTGAAAGCATTCATCCCGCATTGGACCAACTCAACTAAAGGACTAAAAATCCTTGAAAAAGGGATAGGTGATGCTTTGTATTGGGGCTCCCGAAAGCCCATAGCTTCTACTATCGAGTGGCATTGGATCGAGGCCATACCTCTCATCATGGGGAATTCTCGTGGCTCATCACTTGCCTTATGTTAGACGGTTCCTCCGGACAATTCCACTCGTAGTATGAAGTTTCGGAATAGCGAAGAAGCAAAACTTGGACTAGGAGGCGAGGTTAAAGATTGGTATGGGATTAGTAAGAAGAGACAAAGCTTGTCGTTGCTTGTGGTAGTGATGGGTGGTCGGTGGTCGATGAGTCGTGATGGTGGTCGGTTGTGGTGAAGAGGAGGTAATTACTAGGATTTGGTTGGTATAACGAGGGTGAAGGTATTTTTTGTTTTTGCTTTTCATTTTAATGTGCTAAACATTAATTTAATTTTATAAAACGTTTTAAATTTATTATTTTTTAGTTTCGGACTTATACTCTCACATTTGGGGTCCACATTTTCACATGTTCGTACTCGATTAGCTACCGTCATTTTTAACGTGCCACGTCAATTGCACGATTAACAAAGGGTTTGGATCAATAAATTTGTAAGAGTAGAGGATTTCAATCAAGTTGAAAAATTATGGAGGGTCTCAATAAAAAAAATTGAAATTGTATAGGGACCAAATGTGGGGTAAACTCAAGATTTTTATAAATTGATTTAGGTTTGTATTGTGAGGAGTTTGTTTTTGAAATCAAATAGGATTAGTGGGTGACATGTCGGTCGTTAAAAGGAAATTTTAATTTTTGGTCACGTGTCATCTTCCGTGGATTGTAATATATGATAGCATCTTACATGTCATATCCGTCATATGAACTCGAAATTTTGGACAAAAAAAGTCTTTGGTGCAAATATGATTACCAAAAACTTAATTTATGTATTTTTCATCTAATTTTGAAAGAACATACCAAAATGAATAAAAAATATAAAGTTGATGATTTTATGGTATAATAAGCTCTATACATATACATATATATACATATATATATTGGTTGAGTTTTATAACTCAACAATCAAGGAATGCCAAGTGTAACTCTTAGTAACAAAATAAAAAATACAACTCGTACAGTATCGAGAAAGTGTTTTGCCACATATATAGATAGATATTAAGCAAATCTAATTTCTTGTAAAATGATGATGGGATAATTCACCTCGGATTTTATTCCCTCCAACATAAATTTACTCGTCTTCCAAACGTTAGCGCTCACATTTCTTTTTCCCTATGGTCTAAGAGATCCTGATTTTAACTTAAGTTTTTCTTTTTCTAATTTATGTTGATTCAATGGATTTCGCCCTCTATATAAATGTAAAAGAATAGAGTTTGAAAAAAAATTAAATTCGCAGGAAATTTTTTTCATTGAGTTTTTTTTTTCATATTTAGATTTTGTAATTTTTAATTTTTTTTCAATTGAGATTATATTTTTTTATTTAATAAAAACTTTCTACTTTTTTTAGATTTTTTATTTTTTTTATTTTAGAATCTTCGTCGTAACATCCTTTTAACATGTGATCATTAACAACAATCAATTAATAAATGACACCTGCCAAAATGAATCTTAAATCACAGCGTCTCCGTCCAAAAAAAGATTTAATAATAATTTTATTAATTAAATACTACTTAAAATTAAAAAAAATAATAACAGGAGAAGACCAAATTGCCTCCTCCCTCATTATTGCCTTTCTCAATTGAAAAATATCTGAAGAGGAAGGCAAAACTGATCTTCCCAAACTTCATACCAGGTCATCTCTTTAACATACAGAGGAAAGAAAAGAGATCGGGAAGAAGAAAACAGTAAGTATGCAGATTGGTCTTTTAGGGGACCCAACAAGAGCGAGAGACCTTGAGCTTGAGAGTCTAACTTTGAAATTAACGGACGAAGTTGCTGGCTAGCGAAGACTTGACGGAAGCATACGATTAGTCACGGCTAGGGTTTTGTCCATTTACTTCAAAGAGCATTTGTTAAAGAGAGAAAAGGAAAACTGAGACTTCGCACATGGTGGCAGTGAATTCAAAGCAGTGTGCCTCTCTCTGTCTCTGTGTCCTTCTTTCCTTTTTGATTTCTCGGAAGTTTGGATTGACAAATGTTACTGTTCCTCGTGAGTGAAAGAAATTGATGATTTTTTTGGCTGAAGAAGAGGAAGAACTTTGGTCTTCTCATGTTATTTTTAAATTTTAAGTAGTATTTAATTAATAAAATTATCATTAATTTTGTTTTTCCGGGACAGAGACACTGTTATTTGGAGTATCTTGCTAAGTATTGTGATTTGGGAACTCTTGCTAAGTATTGCTCCCTGGCTGGTCAGCTAAATAGCAGATAATGTTGAAACAGAGAGTTTAAAATAAATTTTTTTAAGAGAATAGAGAGTTTTAATAAAAAAAAATTTGAAGAATAAATAATCAAAATGCGAGAATTTTTTTTTCATTTAACATAAATAATATAATGTTATATTGATTCAATGAGATAATTTATCTCTAAATTATTGATATTGTGGCAAAATAAAGATTATTTTATCAATTTAAATTATTTAAATTTTAAACTATTAAAATTTTTAGGTAAATTTTATTTTTTCGTTATCTATTATGGTCATGCCATTGACTAAAGTGTCTAAAATGATTGTTTTAAGCATTTTAGATTTTTTTAAATTAATTTTAATTTTATAATAATTTTTTATTTTTAATTAGATGGACTTATTACATATCATTAATTATCCAACAACAAAAATCAAATCAATAAACTAAAAAATCATGTAAATTTTATTAAAACTAACTATTATTAAATATTTTTTAAAAATTTAATTTTAATTTTTTTGAAAATAATAAAAAAAATTAATAAGTTAATTTTTTTTTACTAGATGAATCCATTATACATAATTAATTATCCAACAACAAAATTACCTAAGTTTTATTAAAACTAATTATTATCAAATATATTTTTAAAAATTAATTTTAATATTTTGTTTTAAATATTTTTAGTTAAGAGTTAATATTTTGACAGTAAGACATAAAGAAAAAAGATAAAATTTATTAAAAAAAGTTATAATTTATGGTCGAAATAACCAAATTAATAATATATAATATAGATCTTATTTTAGTACTGTTGGATAACTTTATACCATTGAACAGCATATAATTAGATGGTGATATTTAGGGCAATAACCGGAAGAAGCACATTAGAGAGGAGTTGAATCTGATGATAAAGAATAGACGACGTGTTCCGTTAAATTACGTATGGTGGTGTCTGAAAATGGCTCTGCTCTTTGTCCTTTACCTATGATTGCCGTTATCTTCTTTCCCCCTTGTTTGATTAATATTATTTTATATTATTATCATTAGCAAAAACAAATGAGTACTCAGTATCACCTAAAAGTCAAGTGCTACACCCTAGAGTGACTGCTTCAATCTGTGACGAACACTATCCACGAACGGGGTGCTACCGTTGGACGTGAATACTGAATAGATAGGTTTGGTTCTTAAAGTGGGTTTGTAGAAATATGGAAGGAGATGGTGATCGGATCGAAGAGAGCATTGTGAGGTTGGTGGGTAGTAGTAGTGATGGTGGTGGTGTTGGTGAGTCGAGGTGGGTGGATGGTAGCGAAGTTGACTCAGAGTCACCTCCGTTGTCTTTGCTTGATGAGAATGGTAACAGACAAGGATATGGATCTATGAGGAGGAGGTTGGTAAAGAAGCCCAGGAGAGTTGATTCTTTTGATGTTGAAGCCATGGAGATTGCTGGTGCCCATCACCACCACTCCAAGGTACTGATAATTATATAATCATCACCATTTACTAATTACAATCTTTCTGTGTCATCCATTTCCCTCAATGTATATCTGTTCTTCCTGACTTGTGTTGGAATTGTTTGCAACTTTTTCACTTATTACTTTACGTTTTGGAGTAAGCTGGGCATGTGAATGGGTTTTATCAGTGGCCATTGCGAGGAAGAGCATTCAATCTGGCCTGGTTCACCCCAACCTATGGATTTCATGACCACTCGTCTCATACTGCAAAATTTGGCATGGTTTGATTCTTCGTAGTTAGTTTAGCAAACGTTTAGTGAGGACTGAAACATTTTCAGCTTCTTCTACTAAAAATACTTCGCGGAATTATAAACAGCACCTTTCCTATAGCCATGCTTAGAATCCATGAAAAGAGAGCACGTTCGAAATGCAGTTGAAAGGGGAGGTATATCAGTCCCAATTATAACCGCTAGGCATTCATAAAGATTTTTTTCCTGCTTGATCTGCCAATCTTACCCACTTTGACAAGCAGCCAAAAGTGGTTTGCTAGAATGCAATGAAAATTTTGCGAGAGATTTTTTTTTTATTATTACTAAACCATTACTTTAACACATTAGGACCTTTCAGTTTGGCGAAATCTTTCATTGGCCTTCCAGACACTTGGTGTGGTGTACGGTGACATGGGTACAAGCCCTCTTTATGTCTTTACTGATGTTTTCAGCAAGGTGCCCATCAAGTCAGAAGTTGATGTCTTGGGAGCTTTATCACTCGTTATTTACACAATTGCTCTCATTCCATTAGCAAAATATGTTTTTATAGTGCTCAAAGCAAATGATAATGGGGAAGGTAAGAGAGCTCTTTTCAAATTGATCAGTTTCTTCGTGCTATATTGCTTGTAATCTCTCGGCCCATTTATTGATTAAAACATCAATAATTCTGATTGCAGGAGGAACATTTGCTTTGTACTCACTGATTTGCAGATATGCAAAGGTGAATATGTTGCCAAATCGACAGCCAGCTGATGAAAATATTTCAAGTTTTAGGCTCAAATTGCCCACTCCAGAACTGGAAAGGGCTTTAAGCATAAAAGAAACTTTGGAGAAAAGATCATCTTTGAAAACACTGCTTTTGCTTTTGGTTCTGACAGGAACTTCCATGGTCATAGGAGATGGTATTCTAACCCCTGCGATGTCAGGTACATGGATGTGTGTTGTGTCATTGGCAGGTAGCCAGCTACTAAACAGCATATACTCTTAATTAAAGTGTTTGGGATTTTTCTAAATTCCATATGGTCTCACAACCGGTGGATTTGTATTTTCCATCCGCCATTTAGAACTGGAGACTATTCAACAGTGAAGGTGCTACTATGGTAATAGCTATGAGATTTCATAAGAGGTCGTAAATTCCTGCTACACATTTTGGTGAATGCCAACAAAATCTGAAGTTATTAAGCTCTTAGAAAATAAGCTTCTGATTATCAGAAAAAGAACAAGAAAATAAGGTTCTGACAGTACATGCTACATAACTGTGGGAGTTTAAGGATTTATTGTCAAAGCCCAATTCGATGAAGCTATGCGAAGAACCAACTAGAATTAACTATTGGATAAATCATGAGTAATGATATATCGAAATCAAACCTTATACACTTAAGATATTTTTTGTTTGGCTTGCTTGTCCTTGGGATTGATGAAGAGTGGTTGCACCTTCGGAACAGGCAGAAGCTTTCCTTTAAGAGAATAATTATTTTCATTGATACATCATCTTGATTGTTGTCTCCATATAAATCTTTTTCTGTTGATTTCCCTTCAACATTGATTTAGAATTGTGTCTTTGGTAATGTATTTTAGGTGCATCTGCAAAAGTGCTTTTGGACTGAAAAAGCATAAGTTTGATGCTTTCTTGGTCCAAAAGCTCTTTGGAAATACGTTACCAAACGAGTGGGATAAGGCCCTTCGAACTTGTTTGTTGGTAATCCATATAAAAAATTATGATGGAATGTTCTATTGCCATTTCAATGTTATTTTTATTTTATTTTGTGAAACAGAATCAAATTCCAATTGCCTAGAACCACACTAATGCACGATTATGGCATCTGTCATGCAGTGATGTCTGCTGTGAGTGGTCTGCAAGGTGAAATATCCGGCTTTGGTACAAGTAGGTATCTTTTTCCTGTTTTCTTGAACTTCTCTAGGTGCATGTGTGGTCCACTTGACTGTTTGAGGTCTCACATATACTTATGTGCTGTGATTTAAGTTTTATTAAACTTTTTATTTCCTTTCACAATGCAATGTTGTTGCAGTCAGAGAGCTCCCCATGTATGTGTGACATCTAGGCTTAGATAGTGGACTGCTTGTTTTGTCTAGGCTAGAATGCGTGGAAGGATAGCAAGTTTTGTACAAATCTAATGCTCCATGTTTAGTAGGAAGTTATTTTATTATGAATTCACTATATTGCTTGAATAGTATGCACTGTTCTGTACATTTGTATTTTTTAACAAATAAAAACGATAGAAATGATGCAAACTTCCAATTATATTTCTTTTCTCTGGCTATTGGGGATGCAACCAATAATTAAATTTTGGAAACAAAATAGCTCTAATCTCAATGGTTTTGTCAATAGATGCTGTGGTTGCTGTCTCAATCATAATCCTTTTGGGGCTGTTCAGCATACAGCGGTTTGGAACTGGGAAGGTGGGTTTCTTGTTTGCTCCTGTACTTGCTCTATGGTTCTTTTCTCTGGGTGCTATTGGGATTTACAATCTAGTGAAGCATGATATCAGTGTTGTCAAGGCATTCAATCCAGCTTATATCTATTTCTTCTTCAAGAAGAATAGTCATGCTGCTTGGTCAGCTCTTGGTGGTTGTGTTCTGTGCATTACAGGTGCGTACTGTTGTAAACTCTGAGCTCTACTAGTGGATTAGATACATTCTTATCTTCCCTGAGCTTCCCCAGTCTTATCTGATCTCCTGGCGATGTGGAGACATTTTCCCTCAGTAAGAGCAGATGTAACTCCTCTTTGCCCGTTGTTTTTAAAGAATGCTACCCAACCACATTAGCAGGTGGAACCCTGGCTACTGTGTTAATCTGTCGATTAATCCTTATGACTTTACCTTTTAGCTGATAAGGTGTCCACTGGTTTTCTCCCGGTATAAAGATCACTCTACCTGAACCTCTGGTGTACAAATGTTTTCATATGACTGATAGAATTCTTTTTGCATATCAATCATTCCTGTTGATTTCATGTTGTGAAAAACTCTCTTAAAGTGTTCTTTTGGGGACACAGATCCCTATCAGTCATTATTGAATGAATAGGCACAGACAAGTACTTTTATTAAGTCTCTTCTGAGTAGAGACATTTGGGTGATCCATTTCTTTTCATTTTAATTTAAACTGTCCACGTTGCTTTCTTTGACACTAAAATATTCTCTTGATCTTTTGCTTGCTTGCCTCTTTTATATCTCTTGTAATTATTGTTTCTTTAATGTGAGATGTTATGTAGAAGTTCACTGTTCTAGGTAATGCATAGATATGCTGGTAGCATAAATCAGGTTTTTGTTTTTCTTTCTTTATATTTTTTGTTTGGGTTGCTATATTGATTATTGCAAATTAGGTTTTGGACACAACAACTATAAAATACATAGGCTGATTGACGCATCAATCTTGCCCGAAAGTGAAAAGTGACCACCAACCTTTTCTATTCCATCTTTGAGTTTGTCACATAGCATTGTAGAAAGATACCTGTGTGATGCCACAACATATCTGCCTGTCATTTCAGGAGCTGAAGCAATGTTTGCTGACTTAGGGCATTTTTCCGTACAATCCATACAGGTTTCTTTCTGCTTCCCTGAATTTTATTTCTTTCTTGAAGATTTTCTCTATATATTTCACATAATTAGTCTTTACTACTTGCAGATTGCCTTTAGTTGTGTAGTGTTTCCCTGTCTTCTCTTGGCTTACATGGGCCAGGCTTCGTATTTAATGAAATTTCCTGACTCTGCAAGCAGAATATTCTATGATTCTGTTCCAGGTGACTTTTGCCACTAGAATGAAGACTAACCTAAGTTCATTCCCCTTTTAAATTGTCTCAAATCAAAATGTCTATATGAGGAATGCAAATTTTGACACAGTTCCTGAATCTCATGAATAACAGAAAGCCTGTTCTGGCCAGTGTTTGTAATTGCTACACTCGCTGCTATGATTGCCAGCCAAGCAATGATATCTGCTACGTTCTCATGTGTTAAGCAAGCAATGGCTCTTGGATGCTTCCCAAGGCTGAAGATAGTTCACACCTCAAGGAAGCTGATGGGCCAGATTTATATCCCTGTCATCAATTATTTTCTAATGATAATGTGCATCATTGTGGTTTCCATCTTTCGAGAAACCACAGAAATTGCCAACGCATATGGTTAAGTATTTTTCCTGTTGCTCCGTGTCAAAAAAGTGTTCTTTTCTGCATTCTAAATTTTCCTTGGAAATTTTTTGGAGTAGAAAACTCTGCTGGTACCAAATGATTTCCAGTTGGAGAACTGTTGCTTTTCCAATATAGCATGATAAGTTGTTTTTAAATCTTCCCCTGCGAATTTTATGATTTTCCTTGAAAGGAGGGGCTGGGCTAATGCTTGTTACTAAGCCTACAGTTATAGGTTTGCTAATGGAACTTATGTTGTTCTTGCAGGCATAGCTGAAGTTGGTGTGATGATGGTGAGCACCACGCTGGTGACACTCGTGATGCTTCTAATTTGGCAGACCAACTTGTTTCTGGCTTTGTGTTTCCCGTTAGTATTTGGATCTGTAGAACTCATTTACCTGTCTGCAGTTTTATCAAAAATCTTAGACGGTGGTTGGCTTCCGCTTGTTTTTGCTACGTTCTTCCTATGCGTGATGTACACTTGGAATTATGGAAGCGTGTTGAAGTACCAGAGTGAGGTAAGAGAGAAGATTTCCATGGATTTTATGCTTGAGCTTGGCTCCACCCTTGGAACTGTAAGAGTTCCAGGAATCGGACTGCTGTACAATGAGCTTGTCCAAGGTGTTCCCTCAATTTTTGGGCAGTTCCTGCTGAGCCTTCCAGCAATCCACTCTACTGTAGTATTTGTTTGCATCAAATATGTCCCCGTCCCTGTAGTCCCTCAAGAGGAAAGGTTTCTTTTCCGAAGAGTTTGCCCAAAGGACTACCACATGTTCCGCTGTGTTGCCCGATATGGTTACAAAGATGTCAGGAAGGAAGATCACCATGTGTTTGAGCAACTTTTGGTTGAAAGCCTTGAGAAGTTTCTGAGAAGAGAGGCTCAAGATCTTGCCATTGAGAGTAATTTGAACGAGTACTTTGATAATGCTTCTGAGAGGTCAAGGGATTCCGGAGCCGCAGGTGGTGATGGGACCGAGGAACTTAGGATTCCTTTAATGGATGGTCAAAGATTGGAAGACCCAGGAAGTTCTATTTCCGAAGGAACTTCCTCAGCGTTGCCCTCAAGTGTTATTCCCTTGGATGAAGACCCAAGTCTAGAGTATGAGCTTTCAGCTCTTCGTGAAGCAATGGATTCGGGATTTACTTATTTACTGGCTCACGGGGATGTGAGGGCAAAGAAAAATTCTTTTTTCCTCAAGAAACTGGTTATTAACTACTTCTATGCATTCTTGAGGAATAATTGTAGAGTTGGTGCTGCTAATCTGAGTGTACCCCACATGAATATCTTGCAAGTGGGGATGACATATATGGTCTAATTCGTTTTCCTCCTTCAAGACTGACTGTGATTTTTGTCGGCAGTTGGCCGCCTGTTAATGCTCTCTATCATCTGAAAAAACTTTTGGGAAATAAACTAGGTATTACAGTTGCATCTGTGTGTATTGTAGCATTCATGGAGAATCCTTGATGAATTATTTCTTAATACATGCCTCTTCTCATATGGTAGTCTCCATATCATCTAGCAAGTTTCAACTATCAAGGTTAGCCCTGTCCAATTTGCGCCAACTGCCAAGTGGCCCAGTCCTTACGGGGCCTTCATCTGTGTGGTATCGTACGAAAGAGGAGTAGCTATCCAAACATAAGAGTTGAATCCGTGGCCTAAGATGTACATTCCTCGGCATATAACAATGTGTTGATGATTCATATTTCTTCTAGCAGCGTTAAAACTTGCACTAAACTTTTGCTGACCGTGAAGAATCAAGAAGTGGAACCTCGCCTGAATATAGGTTTTATCGATTTCTACTGGATCTGGGGCCAGGTATAATAAACGTCTAAACAAGATCTTAAGGTCAAGAACAAGACAAACTCCGAAGGACACCATACATGGAACTTTCTCGATTTTCTTTTCATTTCTCTATTGGCATCCTTTCCACTTTAACTTTTTTCTTTTAACATTTGTGGAGTGGAATCAACAAAACTTGTGGTAGGAAAAACAGAGAGACTGCCGGGTCATTTTTTTCTTGTCTGTGCCTATAAAGCGAAGGCATAAAGACACAAGCAATTTCCCTCCCTTATCTTCACTGTTTTGAAGCATCAGCGTCAGTAAGGGTCATTTGCGGTAAGATGGATGCAATTATGCAAATGCAACTTGGAGATGTCCTCGTCATTGAAGTCTTATGAGTTCTTGACACGTTCCAGAAAACAAATTTTAATTGCAATCAAAGTGGTGGGTGTACGTGTCACAATCACTATCAAAGTATTAAATACGCACACAAGGACAGACACAGGCATCCTTCTCAGAAGACACACTGGCTCTTCTGATACTCATTGCTCATGATAAAGTATCGTTACGTGACATGACCATTCTCTCAGAAAAATGAAAACCTGAATACTATCGTCTAATGTGGTCCAAAATCATACGTTATGCACTAGTTTTCGTTTTTTTCTTTTTTTTTTTAAAAAAAAAGCTTAAATTTTTATTTAAAAAGGTTATCCATAAACAACCGAATATTCGAATAAAGAAAGAAAATCAAAGAGGATTTCGAGAATCCGAACCACCTTTTCCTCACTATATACGTGTATAAGTAGCTCTATCATATCATAGTATAAATAAGATGCTTACCGCACTACGCTGCGAATCAGATAAAATTAATAAAATTAATTTAAAAAATAATTATATTTAGATAACATACAGTATGTTGTGAATGTATTAAAATATATTGAATTAAAAAAATAAAATCATCTAATTTTATACTTTTAATCAAATTTTTATATTTTATTTATTTTCTTTTAACATCTTTCATATTATTTGTTGTTAAAAAACACGATTTGTTCTTCGTTATTCATCAATTCTTAATAAAAACCTATGATAATGTAAATTGAAAAAAAAAATCTTAATATTTGTTTTCATAAGCATTGAATAAAAATACAACAATCACTATAAAAATTTGTATAAAAATTAACAAATATTTGTTTTTAATGTTTTTTCACATATATACATTTGATTTATATATATTTATTTATAAAATAATAAATAATATTAGTATAAAAAAAAGATGCATACGAATTATTAGATGGTTCTTCTAAAAAGTTATTTTAATTTATTTATTTTAAAGAAATTAATATTAGAACATTTGAAAAAAAAATAAATGCAAATTATTGGTGATATGTGTGCACTCGCACAAATAATTTTTTAAAATGATATTAATTTTTTTTATATATCATAACTATACTTAATAAGTTAGAGTGTGTAGCATAAATCATAAAAAAATTTTAAAAAATAATTTGTAAGAAATATATTGAAGTTAATGAAATGCAATATAAATAACTACAAAATTTATTCCGATAAAAGTTTATTGTACTGAAGTAAGAAAATAAAACATGTGAATTCTATTATTTAATTGATTTATTTTAAAGAAATTAATATTATAATATTTGAAAAAAAATAAACGCAAATTATTGATATTATGTGAGCGAGATGCATAAATAATTTTAATAAAACCAATTTTTTCAATTTTTTAATCATTTTGATTTTTTAATCATCATGATCATGCTCAATGGATTAGAGTGTACAACATAAATTGCAAGACGTTTAAAAAAAATTAATCTGTAAGAAATATATTAAAGTTAATGAAATGCAATAAAAATAACTATAAAATTTATTATGATAAAATTTTATTTCACAAAGAATAAAAAAATAAAACAAGTAAATTTTATAATTTAATTAATGATTTATATAAAAGAAAATTAATTCGAGGGTTCCATGTATAGAAAAAATAAATCATATTTATTAAAAAAATACAGAAAAAGAAAAATAAAAAAATGATGAGAATTTCCATAAAAAATAAAAAAAATGATGAGGATTTCCATAACGCAAATTGAAGATATATGTATACTCTAAAATTAAAAAAAAAAAAAAACATCGTATATGTTTCATAACTATTCAAAAAAATAAAATTTATTTTGGGATTCGATCTATTTTATCTAAACATTTTATGACTTAGAAAGACCATAAATTCATTTTCCTCATCAATACAAACAATCTAGATACAAAATTCAAGGACCATAATATATTTTTAAAATATGAGAAATCAGAAATGGTATTTGAAAACATGAGAGACTAAAATAAAAAAAGCTGTTAAACTTACTTTTTATTGTCTAGAAAAACATTAAAAAATAACGAAAACAAACATGATAAAAATAAAAATAAAAACGGCCATTAATGAATAGTTAATGAATGGTGAATTTAGGCATTTGAATAGCATAACAACAGTGATTTACTGTTTAAAATCCCCATCTCCTTTAGTTTTTTTTTTTTAATACTGAGTGGTTTATGAGTTACAATTATATTACTTGGCTTTCTTTAATTCGGAGGGGGGAAAAAAGAACTCATCTCGCCTTCAAATGACTTTTTATTTGTCCAAAATATTGGATTAAGCTACAGAATATTCCTAAGGAATTTGACTCCATGCGGCGATAAATGATTAGATGCATTGTCCATGCAGTTGGGTCTATTCCTGGAGTTGTACGGAAATAGCCCAACACATTAGGGATATCTATCTAAAAACCCCTTATTCCACATTACAGATATTATTATTATTATTATTACAGAATATGATGGAATCCTAGCAAGCTAGTGTCTTTAGATTGCTTGTTAAGACTCATTCAATATCATAAATCAATCAACATTTTATTATTATAGAATTTATTGGGAATATTTAATAAAATATCTATATAAAATATCTACAGAATATTTTTTAAAATAATTTAACAACAAATGAAATAAAATAAATTCACTTATAATTGGAATGATTAACTTACATGACTAATTAATTTATTTCCATAATTGAATATATTAAAGGACCAAGAATATAATTTATATTAGTCTCTAACACATCCCTTTAAGTGAAAGCTCCAACATTTGGACTTGAAATTTACACGAGTCTATATTGTCTTGTGCTTGATACTTGAGAAATTGGGAATGGTGAGACTTGAACTCGGTATCTCTTGCTCAACCAAGCTCTAATACCATATTAAAAGAAAAGCTTAAACTGATAGGTGAGATCCTAAAATATAATTTATATTAGTCTCTAACATAATAAAATCCTAATCCAAAATTCAAATTTTATAATGAAAAAAATTAAATCATTCCATTTATATACGTGCTTTTATGACACATGTTAGAAAAATCCTCGATAAAATATATTATACTTCGTTGCTTAATTAATTTTATTGAATAAAAGATAATTACATTTACAAGACATATTTATGTTTCACATGAAAAATCATACCACTCCAGCATAAGTTGCATAAAGCTAAGGAAGAGAGAAGGAAGGGATATGGAGAAGAAAGGTGATATTTACACTCCCATAATTAATTTTATAATTGGAATGTTTAACTTGCATGATTGATTAATTTATTTCCATAATTGAATAAAATCCTAATCCAAAATTCAAAATTTCTAATGAAAAAATTAAATCATTCCATTTATATATATATATATATATATATGTGTGTGTGTGTGTGTGTGTGTGCGCTTTTTTATGACACATGTTAGAAAAATCCCCGATAAAATATATTATACTTTGTTGCTTAATTAATTTTATTACTATAGAATTTATTGGGAATATATAATAAAATATCTATATAAAATAACATTTATTTAACGTTTGTAATCAATATCATTGATCTTCATTCCTTTTTTTAAAATAATTTAACAACAAATGAAATAAAATAAATGCACTTATAATTGGAATGATTAACTTACATAACTGATTAATTTATTTCCATAGTTGAATAAAATCCTAATCCAAAATTCAAAATTTCTAATGAAAAAATTAAATCATTCCATTTATATTATCATATATGTGCTTTTATGACACATGTTAGAAAAATCCTCAATAAAATATATTATACTTCGTCGCTTAATTAATTTTATTGAATAAAAGATAATTACATTTACAAGACATATTTATGTTTCACATGAAAAATCATACCACTCCAGCAAAGTCGCATAAAGCTAAGGAAGAGAGAAGGAAGCGATATGGATTAAAAGCCATACCAGAAGAAAGGTGATATTGACACTCTCTTAAATTACCAATACTTTCACTTTCTTCATTTATATATATATATATATATATATATATATATATATATATATATATATACTTTCACTTTCTTCATTATATATATATATATATATATATATATATATATATATATTTTATCGTTAGTCAAATAGCTTATAGCCCCACTTCCTTTAAAAATTGCTTCGCACTTGATTGTTATCGTGTTCGTAAAATTCACGTTTGTTGCTAGGTGAAGCTAGCTGGTAAATAGAACCTTAATTTTTTTTTTAATGTTTTTTCATTTTTCGTCATTTAATTTTTAACTTGTACATATTACTTCAAATAAAAATTTATTAGTTGACCCTATAATTTTTAACTGTTTATGAAAAAAATGTATTAGTTAATAAATATATGAAAGATTCAGATTTATTCTAGTATTTAGGTAAATCTAGACTAAATATTTAATGAAATGATAATAATTTAACTATCGATAATAAATCTACAAATTGAATGAAGATGTAAAAAGAAAAAAAAACATTTTGTTTTATGACTTGCTTAATAAAACATTTTGTTTTATATTATTCGAAAGTAAAATAATCAGTCTAAAGAAAATTGAAAAGATAGGAGTGTGGTTAAGCAGCGTTAGAGTGCGAATGTCACCTTCCCCATTAGAGTTATATAAAGATGCCGACGTCTCGATTATGCGGGCTCGATTGGAGCGCACGTTATAAACAAAAAATCACAAGAGAGTTTTCAATGGAAATTTATAAACAAAAAATCAAATTATTATTTTGTCCTTTTGTATTGAACATGATTACAACTTTAGTTCGTCCTAATTAAAAAATTACAATTCAGTCTCCTAGCGGTTTTCTCTGTTTTTCAATAACAATTTAAATTTTCAAAGGGTGCATTTGTATATATACCAAGAAGCCAAGAAAACCCACGAAAACTTTAATAAGAGTGAAAAGATTAAATTGTAGATTTATTTTTTTCAAAAAAGAATAAGATGTAATTAAAACCAAAATACAGGGACTAAATGACAGTTTACCGTAAAGAAATAGGGAGGGAAAAAAAAATACCCTCACATTATCTATTTATTTATTTTAAAGAAATCATGGGAAGGAAACCAGTACCTAATTTCTGTCTCTCTCAAAGCTTTTTCTCTCTTAAAATAACGCACGCAAAGGAACACATTAATTTAGTTTTTCGTGTTTCTACTAGTAGTGTCTGTATTCGTGGTTGTTCAACTGCTGTCGACGTTCAGGACTAGTCTCCGCTCAAATAAATTAAATTAAATTAAATTAAACAAACCAGCTATCTTTATCTTCCCCTGCATGCCTGTGATTTTTTTAAATTAAGCCTCCTTCGTTTTCATCAGTTTTGTTCAAATGGGACATCGTCCAATGGAATATCTCAACCTCTGAGAGCTTCTTTCTCTGTCCCATCATGGATCTGGAAACTGGGGGTTTTCAAAACCATGTTAAGGTAACTTCTTTTTTCAGTATTGTTATTGACCTTCGTTGCAGAAGAAGAATCATATATGTTTTTGTTTTTCCTTTTTTTGTGGCTGTGCTTCAGAGAGAATCGTGGAAGACAGTATTAACTTTGGCATATCAAAGTCTAGGAGTTGTGTATGGAGATTTAAGTACGTCGCCGCTATATGTATACAAGAGCACGTTTGCCGAAGATATTCAACATTCCGAGACAAATGAAGAGATTTATGGTGTCCTGTCTTTTATTTTTTGGACTCTCACTTTGGTCCCTTTGTTAAAATACGTATTTATAGTGCTAAGAGCTGATGATAATGGCGAAGGAGGTACTTTTGCTCTCTACTCCTTGCTGTGTCGACATGCCCGAATCAACTCACTTCCCAATTGCCAGGTGGCTGATGAGGAGCTTTACGAGTACAAGAAGGATGCTGCTACTACTTGTTTGACACCAACAACTTCTGTTGGTTCAAGATTGAAATCAACTCTCGAGAAACACAGGGTGTTGCAGAGGTTCTTGCTTTTGCTGGCTTTAATTGGGACTTGTATGGTCATTGGTGATGGTGTCCTAACCCCTGCTCTTTCAGGTAATCAACACTTATTAGATCTCTTCTAGCTTGTAAACTTTTTATTTTTATTCTTATGCTCCAATTGGATTGCTTGTGTGATCATTGGGTACCATATGTACAGTTTTCTCTGCGGTTTCTGGCCTTGAGCTTTCCATGGCAAAAGAGCATCACAAATGTAAGATACTTGCCAGCCAATTCTTTTCTCATTTTCTGTCTTGGAATTCCAATGTCCCTTTTCGATGAATACGATTCCACTATTTGTAGCAGATTAATTATGGTCGACTAACTTAAGGGTGCAAGGTTACTGCCTTTGCTTTCTCTCGGTGTTTCTTCTAGAAATTCTCTTCATTCGAGCAACTTTTGATTGGAATTCAATGCCAAGCCAAGCAATTTAAAGCTTATGTTTGTGCCTGAATTGTTTTCTTGGTCTCCTCAACTTCATAATGCGTCCTGCTGTCTTGACAATGTTTATGATTTTTCTTTTATAGAACTTGTGAACCTTGCTTATATTCACGTCTATGCTAGTAAATATGCGCCTTCTTCATCAAAATCGAAGAACTATATTATGGAGCTCCTCATGCTACTTTGTCAATTATGCAAAATTGTGCAAATTAACATGCTAAACTGGCATTTGTTTGGCACAACTCTAAAATCTGCACATACTAGATAAACTTTTCATCTCTTTGCTTGCATGAACTCTCCACTTTATTTTTTCTAAAAATTTAAATGCAAATAATGTGCTTGATTGGAAAATTTTGCATAGCTTAGATACTCAGTAAAAAAAATCATCTCTTTGCTAAACTGGCATTTGTTTGGCATCTGCACATACTAGATAAACTTTTCATCTCTTTGCTTTCACGAACTCTCCACTTTATTTTTTCTAAAAATTTAAATGCAAATAATGTGCTTGATTGGAAAATTTTGCATAGCTTAGATTCTCCAAAAAAAAAATTCAAATCGAAACTGCAAGAAGTACTAAAAATGTAATTATCCTGTAGAAAGATGCCTAACTGAATATCCAGGTCTGAAAAGCAGTCCCTTTCATACGAGGCTGCTTCTTTAATATTCATACTGCTATTGTCATTGGTACCATGGCATACCATACATGACATGGCTCTTAATGTGATATTCCCTGCTGAAAGTTTCAATAATTTTGCAGACGTGGAAGTTCCAGTTGCATGCATCATACTCATTGGCTTGTTTGCCCTTCAGCATTATGGCACCCACAGGGTTGGATTCTTGTTCGCACCAGTGGTTCTATTGTGGCTTTTGTGCATCAGTGCTATTGGGGTATACAACATCGTACACTGGAATCCTCATGTTTATCAAGCTCTATCACCCTATTACATGTACAAGTTTTTGAAGAAAACTCAACGAGGAGGTTGGATGTCCTTGGGTGGGATTTTGCTGTGTATAACTGGTAATTATTGGATTAACCGTTTCTTTTAGGCCTTTTACAAGCAAAGAGGCTGCTTCTTTTGGTAACCAACTTCTTGTTCTTGTTGTATATATTGTTTTTGAATACAGGCTCAGAAGCTATGTTTGCTGATCTTGGACACTTTTCTCAATTGTCAATCAAGGTATATATACTCTTAAAGAACTCAATTCTACTTAGAAGAGGCTTTCTATAGTGTTTTAAGTTGGCATGCCTGTCACAATATTAATTCTTAGATCTACTACTTTTATGTCTGCATCACTCACTGTTACAGAGCAGTAAGTTGATTCATGTGGTTTGAGCCTTTTGAGTTCCTATCTTGATGCCTTACTAGGATTTTGATCCTGCAATTATAATTGTAAGTGACTAGTGGAATTATGAGTATCTTGGTTTAGTTTGGGGGTTGTGGCCTAGGGTATTTCCTTTTTCTCTTTTCTCTAACTTCTTTGTCTCCTTCTCCTCCTAAATTCTTCTTGCTACAGTACCTCAGGTACCTTTCACAGCTATAATGACATCCCATTTTCTTCTAAACAAGCTCCTAAGCAACTGTGATTACACCACACCAAACTCTAGCTCACCATGAATCCTTTATGTGGCACAATACTAAATTGCCCTAAATACTGTTTTGGACAAGTTACGTAATGTATTTTTCTTTCATGATGTCAAAAGAAGCACCCAATCTTGTTTTTCAGCATCGCATATAACTTAAAACAAAAAAACTATTCGCCTTCAAAAAATAATATAGAAATAAATTAGTGTAAACAAAAAATATTATTTTTAAAGATTAAATGACCTGAGATTACATTAGTTGATGCCTTATTCTAAAAGTGGTTCATTTCCTGCAGATTGCTTTCACCTCGTTGGTTTATCCATCGTTGATTCTTGCATATATGGGACAAGCTGCTTACCTATCTCACCATCATGTTATTGACAATGATTACCATATTGGATTTTATGTATCTGTTCCGGGTAGGCACCTTTAAGATGTCTTCATGAAGAATATATTATTTGGATATGACTAATGCTATTCTTCTTGATATAAGTTTTCTGAATCAGTTTCCTGAATAATATGAACCATTGGTGGGGTGGATCTCACTGATGGGTCCCACAAAAGACCGAGCATCAAGTGGCTAGGCTCTTTTTGGGAAACTCATTCTCTGGATGGGTCCCATCTCTGGATGTTATGCAAGTTTTGACTGACTAGAAGTACACAACATTGTTGTTCCAGGTAAATTACGATGGCCAGTTTTAGTTATTGCCATCCTTGCTGCAGTAGTGGGGAGCCAAGCCATAATCACTGGAACATTCTCCATAATCAAACAGTGCTCTGCTCTGGGCTGCTTCCCAAGAGTCAAAATAGTTCACACGTCGTCCAAAATCCATGGTCAGATCTACATCCCAGAGATAAATTGGACTTTGATGCTGTTGTGCTTGGCTGTTACTATTGGTTTCAGGGACACAAAACGTCTGGGTAACGCCTCAGGTACGACTGTTTACAGTAATGAATGCAAGTATCTGGTCTTTTTCTGTGTACAGCAATCTAATATGCAGATTGCTTGTTCAATTAAACATCTGTTGTGCTGTGGGAACTTTAGGTTTTAGCCTCAGCTTGAAGCATGTTATTCAAAGAATCATAAATACACATGTCAGCTACATAGTTGTCAGTACCAGCCACTGCAGTGCTTTTGCCATGAGATTGGTTGTGATGATCGCAACCAATCTCTATGAAATCATATTATTTCTTTTGATGATAATCTGTGAGAGAGATCCACTGAGTGGATTTAATTTTCCAAGTCTAACTACACAAGTTTCAATGCTATGACTTTATACCAGCTAATTCATGGTAGTAGTAATCTGTGATAAGAATGCTGCAGTGAGCAGGGAGCCCATTATCTTGCGTCTGAGCATGCTAAAGATCATTAAACTCTAGCATCAGAATGGTCAGGCCATTACATGAAAGCCCATAGACTATTCTGTCTGCATGAGGGGCCATTCAAGTGTCTATATGCAGATGCATGATTGGACAGTTGGTGCAGTAGTGTAGCAAGCAGCTGACAAGGAAAGAGAAGCTAGATTTATCCATTTGGATTCACTGAAAAAATTTAAATGAAACCTTAATGTAATTTGAAAGAACTTACCTAGATTTAGTTAGCTAAAATAGTAGGATTTGGGTTATGATCTAACTGAATTCCAAGATATTGATCTGCTGATTCTTGGGTTTTCTAAAATCTCTCACAATGTTTCATGAAATATCAGTGTGCATGAAATGATTGACTGAAATTTCATTACTGTTTTTAATCCCTTGCTTATTTTGAAACAGGCTTGGCAGTTATAACAGTCATGCTAGTTACTACATGCCTGATGTCTCTGGTCATAGTCTTATGCTGGCACAAGAGCATCTTCCTCGCAATATGCTTTGTATGCTTTTTTGGCACAATTGAAGCTCTTTACTTCTCAGCTTCCCTCATAAAGTTCTTGGAAGGGGCCTGGGTCCCTATTGCCCTCTCATTCATCTTCCTGATTGTTATGTGTGTGTGGCACTATGGTACACTGAAAACGTATGAATTTGATGTCCAAAACAAGGTCTCCATTAACTGGCTACTTAGCTTGGGTCCCAGCCTTGGTATCGTCCGTGTCCGAGGAATTGGCCTCATACACACAGAGTTGGTGTCTGGAATCCCAGCGATCTTCTCTCACTTTGTTACCAACCTTCCAGCATTCCACCAAGTCCTAGTCTTTCTCTGCATCAAATCCGTCCCTGTTCCACATGTTAGAGCCAAGGAACGGTTTCTAGTGGGGCACATTGGCCCAAAAGAGTACAGGTTATATAGGTGCATTGTGCGATATGGATATCGTGATGTTCACAAGGATGACATGGAGTTTGAGAAGGATCTTGTATGCAGCGTAGCAGAGTATATTCGGTCGGGGAGTGCTGAACCCAATGGTGCCAAGGACGAAATGGAGAGTGAAGATGACAAAATGACAGTAGTTGGAACATGCTGTACTCATACAGATGGAATCCAGTTGCGGGAGGATGCTGTTGACAACATAGAGTCAGCTGGCACCTCAGAGTTGAGGGAGATAAAGTCACCACCTGTGATTCAACCTAGGAAAAGAGTAAGATTTATAGTACCGGATAGCCCGAAGATCGACAGAGGTGCTAGGGAGGAGCTGCAGGAACTTATGGAAGCTAGGGAAGCTGGGATTGCTTACATACTAGGGCATTGTTATGTGAGAGCCAAGCAAGGGTCTAGCATGCAGAAGAAGCTTGTGATAAATTATGGGTATGAGTTTTTGAGGAGAAACAGCCGGCCACCCGCCTATACACTAAGTGTACCACATGCATCTACCCTGGAGGTGGGGATGGTATACCATGTTTAAATTTTTTGTTATACATACAGGATATAAACTGGTCATGTACATTTTGTAATGTTGTGTAGTAGATCATAAAAAACAACTGCAGTTAACAATGTGGTTGATTGTACAGAGCTCTTTGCTCTTGGCCACTTTAGCAGTTTCCTCATCGCTGACAATTGGCCTCTTGTAAGGGTTGAAGGTCTATTGAAGGAGCCATTTTTGCGGACGCTTTTTCCAACTAAAACTGGCATATTCAACCGGGCCTCAAGTTGAGCGCGGCAGCCGGCACGTTTCAACCTTTCTTTCGTCTTTTTTGGTCGTCCTTCTCTTTTTCTTGTTCTGTCTTTTTCCTGCTTTTTTCTTTTTCGGGTTTCATTTCCTAATTGGGGTATGGGAGGCGTTGGTGGAGTACGAACTTGTTACGATTCTATTTATGGAATAAGTATAGGTTGGCCCCTTAATTTTAAGTCTTTTCAAATAAGGATTCTGCTTGGATGGCATTTCCTGCATCCGCTTGATAAAATGAAGGTTTGGCAGGTTACTGACATGCCGTTTCCACATGTTATTCTCGGTATTCAAATAATCTAGCATGTTGCCCAGACTTTGCGTGGATAAACCAATTTCATGCATCCTCAATATGATTAGAAGTAGAAGACGGTAAAAAATAAAGTGTGTTTAGATAGGCCAATAGAGTAAAGAAATTTCTTTTCCAGTAACATTTCGGAACGAAAACAAGATTGCTAGAAAAGGCTTAGTAGACATTAATTTCTGTTCAATGCCCTTATGGAAGTGATGATGAAACACAGCAAAAACCAACATAAATATAATCAGTAGTAAGATGCAGATGAACACAGACTACAGCAGAGCATGCCTCCATTATGTCATTTCTAAGTTGTCATTCTTGACATAACAACAACCAAAAATTAGGATGATGTGAACCCACCTAGCTCGATGGCTAAAGAACCCATGAACAAGAAGGAAGAATTCCCGAAAAGCCAAATCAGATTAGAAGGATATGGACGTCACACTCTAGAAAAGGTAGAAAGTATATGAGTGATAAGTCGTTTGAATGCCACAAGAATTCGAATTAATTTTTGATTGGTTATAGATTCAGTTTTAGAAAGAACTAAGGTGTGAATTTTATCACAAAAGTTGATTTGATTCAAAGATTGATTAACACGAAAATTACATGTTGTTTTTACATAAATAGGCTACTGAAAATTCAAAAAGACAAAGTTGAATGAAATTACATAGGATCTAACAATAAAAAATTTTGAATCCAACAAAGCTTTGAAAAGTCTTCTTGAAATTGGAAGAAAGCTCTTTGGATTCAGTAGCCATTGTAATGGAACGAATCTTTGATGAATGCTGACTTGAAAAAGAGGTGTAAAATGTTGACTTTGGAAAGACTTTGAAGTGGATTGATTCAGTAGCTTTATCTTGCTAATCTTGGCCTAAAATGTCAAGAAATGATGGCTTGGCCAGATTGGATTTCAAGTTTGAAAAATTTGGTCCAGTAGCTTGAATAAGATGCACAAGGCCCATTTGATGGTCTTCAACTCTATTGATGGAGAATTTGACCCAATAGCTTTGTTTAGCATTAGGAAGCCCATGACCTAATTAGTATGCATTCCTCTCACCCAAATGATAATTGAATTAACCCATTTGATCCAGCTTTAATTCATGTTGTGGGCTCATTAATTTAAGCCCAAATACCACTCTTTTTAAAACCCATTTCCATGCAAATCAGCTCATGTGAATTTTGTGAAGCCCAAATTTTTTCATGAAGTAATTCATTTAATTCTCGCATAATTCGATCCTCTATGATCATATCATACCCCCACTCTTCGAAAAGATTTGTCCTCTAATCTTCACTTCTATGCCGAATTCATGCCTTGATAAATGAGTAGTTGAATCAAAATGTCCAAATGTAATAGATTTTGAGCCATGAACATAATTGTCACAAAATGATGTTTTGAGACCAAAAATTGAAGGACGGTAATCATAAATGAGAATAATAGCAGCAAGCCCTTTGTCTTCACCAATAGCAACAACTCTCTTGCTAGAAGTCATAAAATTCTCAACACCATTAAAGTCGAAAACATGAAGTTTATTTGCTATATAGTCATGGTTAGTTCTAACCAAAACAACGTCACAACTCTCGGTTTCAACCAAACTAGCATCATAACACTTGGTTTCAACAAAACTAGCATCACAACTCTTGGTTTTAACAAAACTAGCATCACCTTTGGTGAACTCTTTATTAGCGGTAGCATAGTCATCGTTATGACTAAAATTTTGAGTGCTCTCAACACCCACAAAGTCAACCTCATTAACATCTTCGACAACAACAACTTCAAAATTTTTAGATCTCAAATCTTTATCTTGGTGTTGGAATTTTTCAGTAGAAGGTTTAACCATATCAACCTCTCGTGTTAACACTATTTTCTTTGGAATTTGTAACTTCAATTGCCTCATTTTATCACCGGAGTGCTTCTTCTTCACAAAGTTTAATCATTCGTCTCATACGTCCGAGTTCAATTTGGAGAGTCTCAAACGGATCCTTTGGCATTGGTTGTTCCATGTCTCGTATTTCTAGTTGCCATAAATCACGTAGGATTTGCTTTTTGGAATATGATGATGAAGACATGTTTTTTTTTTAATACTCAAAGAAGTATGGATTCGGATAGTTTAAACAACAAAAATACAAATTGAATTTTAGAGCTACTAATTTGGAACACACAAAATTGACTCTTCTTTTTATAACCTTGATTTTTTTTTTTAATTCGCAATTAGAACCAATCTAGCACTCAACAATTAGAAAAAATAACAAATTGTAGAATGAATAAAAAAAAATAATGAAAATGACATAATTGATGAAATTGACGAATTTGACTACTAAATTGAAACACACAACCGATTTTGGTAGCCCTAGGATGATTTCAATGTAGTGCTATGGTTTCTATCGATTTGGAACAAAAAGAAAATTTTAGAAATGGAGAAGAAGATGACATACACGATTTACAATAACTAACTAGATAGAAACAAAAGAAAATCAAACTTCTTTTTTCTTTTTTTGAATTGGAATCGATTCAATTTGGACTAAAATGAAACTATAAAGACACAAAATAGAACAAAAGATAACAAAAAAGAAAACCCGATTTAGAGCCAAGCTCGATACCAATTGATGTGAACCCACATAGCTAAATGGCTAGAGAATCCACGAACAAGAAAGAACAATTCTCGAAAAACCAAATCGGATTAGAAGGATATGGACGCTACACTCCGGAAAGGGTAGAAATAAGTCGCTTGAATGCCACAAGAATTCAAATTAATTCTTTATTGGTTCTAGATTCGGCTCTAGAAAGAATTAAGATATGAATTTTCTCACAAAGGTTGATTTGATTCAAAGATTGATTAACACGAAAATTAAATGTTGTTTTTACATAAATAGGCTACCGAAAATTTAGAAAGACAAAGTTGAATTAAATTACATAGGATCTAACAATAAAAAATTTTGAATCCAACAAAGCTTTGAAAAGTTTTCTTGAAATCGGAAAAAGCTCTTTAGATTCAACAACCATTATTATAAAATAAATCTTGATGAATACCGACTTGAAAAAGAGTTGTAAACTCGTTGGCTTCGGAAAGGCTTTGAAGTGGATTAATTCGGTAGCTTTATGTTGCTAATCTTGGCTCAAAATGTCAAGAAAGATGGTTTGGCCGATTGGATTTCAAGTTTGAAAATTTTGGTCCAATAGCTTGAATAAGATGCACAAGGCCCATTTGATGGTCTTTAAGTCTATTGATGGAGAATTCGACCCAATATCTTTGTTTAGCATCGGGAAGCTCACGACCCAATCGGTATGCATTCCTCTCACTCAAATGATAATTGAATCGACCCATTTAATCCAGACTTTAATTCATGTTGTGGGCTCATTAATTTGAGCTAAGATGCCACTCTTTTTAAAACTCATTTCCATGCAAATCAGCCCATGTGAATTTTGTAAAGCCCAAATTTCTTCATGGAGTGATCCATTTAATTCCGCATAGTTCGACCACCCCATGATCATATCATAGGGTTTCTTAAAAAAAAAAAAAAATTAGGGATGAAATTTTCAAGCCAAAACTTTTATTTGTTAGAAAACTAATCAAATAAAAGAATAAAGTAGAAATAATAAAAACAATAGCACAAAACAAAATTTTTATGTGATTCGGTAATTATGTATGCCTTCAAATACAAATAATGTTGTCTCTATTTATAATATGGACAACTAACGTTATAAGAATAAAAGGTCCAAGGAACCTATATATATGGTTTAATATTTTATAAACTTTTAAAGGGTTTAACCCTCGAGTCCTTGTAAGAAGCGTTGCCCCTTTAACTCCCACTTATTGACTCTAAATAGTGTTTTATATTGCAAACCTTCATCCACATTAGTCTCCATAACTTAATAGTATTTATATTCATTAATAAAATTTATTGGGAACTTCTCCAAAATATTCTACAAAGAAACACTAAATTAGTGTTTATATTTAAAAGAAGCACTCTCATATTCTTTATTCTTTACTTTTTTTCACGCCTAAGAAGACAATGAACGGTACCTTTTCTATAGTTTGACCCATTTTTTTAATGAAGTTTCTCTTCGTTAAACTAATTAATATTATAAAGAAGAAAATCTAATACTAAAAAATATGTTCCTTTTTTTTACTTTTATTCTCGGACTGCTTTCCATATAAACCGAGATTAAATTCTAAATATAATTGACATTTAAGAGTAAAGAAACTTTTTTGAAAAGAAAATTTAAGACACTCGATTGTAAAAAATAATAAAGTTTAAGACACTGACGATAAAATACAATTATCTCTTCTTATCCTTCAGGCCACTGCTCCAAAAGGCGTCGTGTCATTCAGTGGCTTCTTGAGTCTGTTATCGAAACAAGGGAAGACAAAACCATGGTTTCTTCCACTATAATAGCCTCATCATCATCATGTCTAGCTCAATCTTCGCTCTACTATCTCACGGACTTACCAATTTTAGTTAAACGAACTGGTTCTTCCCTTCTTTCCTGCAAACCGAATGTAGCACCTCTGAGGTCTAACCGACGCCGGTTAGCTTGCTTCTTCAATGCCGGAAAGGATTCCAAACCCAAAGTTGAAGCGCAGGACAAGGGATTGGAGTGGCCAATACTCAAGCGATGGGACGTACCTTGGCCATGGCAAACAATTACCTTAACCTCACTTGCCTGTGGACTAAGGTTTCTCTTACTAATTACCAGTACATCCATCCATACAGTTATTTTCTTTTTTTACTATTTAATTTGTTTCTGATTCTCGACAGGCAGTTTTATTTTGACAGGATTGGTAGAGGCAACGGCCATACCCTATTTAGGACTTAAGATTGAAGAGCTAAGTTTAGACGAGAAGGCGGAGATACTGCTTTTGGACCAAAGGTATAATCTTTTTTTTTTCTTGGTTTTACTATTGTGCACCGTGACTAAGTTGATCCCTCTGGTCCGGCAAAAGGCAGGCTATCTAGTCCTATGTTTAAGGATGGACTATGGAGCACACCCCTTTAACCAGCATGTTAAACCCTTTATGTTCCAAATTTGATGATATCCTTGGAATATTGATCACTTTTAATAAATTAAAACAAATGCCCACTGCTTTTGTTAATTTATTTTGGCTGTTTCTATTCTGGTAGTATTGCAACTGCCGTTGTACTTGGAGTTCTTTACGGTATCCTCAACACCTTCCAACCTCTTCCTGAAGATGTGTTTCGCTATGGTACTTTTCAATCTTTTACTACAATATCTTGCCTTCTGTTTTTAATGTCTATCCGGGTTTTGGATTTTGGTTCTTTAGTTTAATATTGGGTGCTGGTGTGTCAGATTTAAAGGAGCCTTTCAATCTACAGAAAGGTTGGCTCTTATGGGCGGGCATTGGTCTTGCTGGTGCTCTGCTTGCTGTTGCATTGACTGGAGTTGCTTTGTCTACATTTAGTGGTGAGACCCCGCAGAGAGAGGTTAGGAATTGGTTTTCTTCAGTTGTTTTCTTCTTCTGAGACACAGAAGCTATATATGCTTCTTTCTCTTGGTGAAGTGAACTGCTAACTTGTAACTAATTTGTAAGAATATCTATAGCTTTAGATAGGCCTTTCTTTCTGCGAATCACTAATAAAATGATGCTATACTGTACATCTCATAAATGGACTCACTGTATATATATAAGCTTCTGTGTGCTATCTACTACTGTATTAACTTATATAACGTTGTTGCAGACTGATGCTCTTGTTCGACTTCTTCCATTGATTGGATCTTCCAGTATCAGGTATATAGACAACAGATTATTTGTAGTTCTATATGGTTTGATTGTGAACCTGCCTAGCTGGTTAAGGAACTTTATATTTATAGCGTGTACTCTTGCTATCACTGCAGCACCGTTTGCTTGATTGGCATCACTGGCGTCCTTGCTCCAGTCTTGGAGGAGAATGTCTTTCGAGGGTTTTTCATGGTGTCTCTGACAAAGTGGTATTGTTCCTCTTCTGATTTCAGAAAATAAGCTTTCCTCTTCCCCTGTTGATCAAGGAACTTATGCTTATATTAATCACCTTCAGTTGAGAATTTTAAACCGAGTTTTTCAGCTATGGAGATAAGTTTATGAGTTCAGTATAAATTAAAATTTAGTTGGAGAGGAAATACAGAAAGTAATTCAGATGTCGGCTACTAATCAATTAGAAAACAAGTGATATAGTTAACTGCGCCTCATGGCATGACATGTATCAAACTCTCAATTCTGTGGCATGTTGCATCTTCGGTGCTCATGAAATGAGGGTAATGTAAGGAAGTGAATCAAGCAAAAGAATAGAGTAGAAAGATAAGAATAATCACATAACACAAAGATCTACGTGGTTCAGCAATTGTGCTTATTCCATGGCTGCATTAGGATTTCTTATCATGTTTTATCAAGTGGCAGCTACAAATACAAGTGCTCTTGTCTCTATTTATAGTGTGAACAATTAGGGTTATAAGAAAAAAGACTAACGAGCCTATACACCTGGCTCAATATTCTGTAGCGTCTTATACTGCGGGCCTCCATTCACATAAGTCTTCACAACTTAACGGGTAAGATGCATAACTTGAAAGACAATATAAAATTGGAAATGATAGTATTTAAAAAAGAATGAATCAGCACTAGTTGAGGAGCAAATGATATTAAGTCAGCTCATATGGTATAATGTTGGTTGAGATTGTTTCACTACTCTTAACAAGGTTTTATGGCTGATCTGATTATGAGTGTGATGAAGTCCTAGTTAAAGTGCTATAGGATGGCCAAATATAATGTTGGTTAATACTGAGTGAACGTTGCAGACAAGCATTATATATGACCAACATGAAGTAAAACAATAAATTATATACATAGGAAATAGCTTGGTTAAGGCTTACCTAAGTTTATTTGGTCAAACTTATGTATGAAAACAACCTATTCTTGCTCTTTGTTGTGTTTTCGTATGTCATTTGTTGCATTTTTCCATTTTATTACTAGATTTAACCATTTAATTGCCTTTTCTCTCCCATGCTTGTGTCAAGTATTCGATTTACCTTCCTTCATTCCAATTTGGCCAAGTGATCCCAAAATGGGCAACTGTTGATCAATCTATCCCAATTGGCAATGCTAGTTAACTTAGGCAATTAAAATTCATGTTTTTTTTCAGACTTGTAATTTAGAAAAGTACCAATAAATCCTTCATATGGGCAAATCCACGTGGAAGATAAAAGCCCATCTTTAGTGTGGGTATTTTCAAAATTGCATGTCTGAATAATTTGAATTTTTAATGGCCCAACTTACTAGCATTATTGATTGGAACAGGCTGACCTAGATTTGTCAAATTTTGGAGTTACTCAACCAAATTAGAACCACAGGAATAAGTCAATTATTTTATGCAAACACAAGGGAAAAGTGCAATTAATGCTTCATATTATCCAGCTATTTCTGTGTAAACATAATTTATTTGGACATTTGATCTACAACGTTATTCGTATTTCTGCATCAGAGATGGTTAAGCTATTTGGATTTGACCTTTCTTAGAATTTTTTTTTTTTTCATTGGTGATATACTTTCCATTTTCCAAGCTCCTTTATTTCTTTGCTTTTTCTGCAGGGTACCTACACCAGTTTCTGTACTAATTAGTGCGGCTGTATTTGCCTTGGCACATTTGACACCTGGAGAGTTTCCCCAATTATTTGTGTTAGGTAAGATGGGTGCATTGGTTAATAGATCAAAAAAATTCTATGTACCGTCAATAGGAAAATGGCTCTGCCATGATGAAGCTTTCTTTTTGAGATTTGATGATTTGAACTTCCTTGATAGCATTTTAAGTTGTAGATATTATATATTGAAGTAACTGGCTTTCCAATGGATAAATTCCAAAAATGTAAAAATGTCCTTTAAGAAAACAAATGAAATTATTCTTCTCTGTAGGGACTGCTCTGGGATTTTCATATGCTCAAACTCGCAATCTTCTAACCCCAATCACAATTCATGCATTCTGGAACTCGGGAGTAGTCATCATTCTCACCTTGCTTCAGGTATATAGCTTGCTTTTGATGGTTGCTTTTAAGCTTCATGGGAACTCAAATTTTGCTTTCTACAGTTTGGACTCTTTGGGGCAGCCAATAAAGAGTTTACTTGGAGTGATAAATATTGCCCTTTTAAGTTGTTGAATCAAGAAATAAAGCTAATACTATCTCTGGTTGATTTTGTTCAGCTCCAGGGATATGATATCAAGGAATTATTGCAGTCAACCTAATAGGGACAAAATTTCTTCGTCCACAAAACTCTTGCAAGCAAGGCTTACTCCTTGCGTACCATTTCCATATGGATTTTCCATATTCTTACGCAAGACAAAAGACAGGTCGAGTAATAGATGGAAAATGTTAAAAGTGTTTGAAGTTGATCGATCAGTCTTAGCTATCAAATGACGAGAGCATGATTTTAACTTTTCTGCAACGTTTTGCATTCTATTTTGAGCATCGTCATCGCATTGTCTGTTCTTGATGGATTTGCACTCATCTAACTTGCGCTCTTCTCTACGTTGTCCGCTGTGTAATAGTTCATATAACTTTTGTCATTTTACGAAGAGCCACGCAATGTAATGGAATATTAAATATTAAGGTGCGTTTTACTGATTACTAGATATGAATCCTCACCCAGTCCTCACATTCTGGTAATTGGACAAATACGGGGGACGATTATGACCAAAATGGCACGGAACTAAAAGGAAACAGGCATTACCAAAATTGCCATTTGTCTCAACTTTTTTCCCTGATCCCTGAAAGGTGTGAAAATGCTTTGTGACGTTGTTGCAAAGAAAGACTATAGTTCAAAATTGCCTACGTAATAACGTAGGCCCTGATCTGGAAGGTCACAAGCAACGATATTATGGACATATCTAATCTGCAGTGTCACATGCCGCACGATTATAGCCATATGATCGGATGAGAAATTTTAATATATTCAAATAATAATAATAATAATAACGATACTTACTATATGTCTATTTTTAAAATCAGCTTTTGAAAAAAAAAAAAACCCCACTAAAATTGATAGAAACAGACATAAATAAAAAAAATAAAAAAAATAAAATGCTTGAATTCATAAAAAATAATAAGAATAACTAAACTTATCTTTCGTATTTTTCTTCTTTGTATTTATCTCTTTATTATAAAATAAAGATTAGATATTATTAATTATATAAAAAATATCATAGAATTTCTTCAGTACAGAATTGTTGATGAGCAAGGTGGTGACGAGTGGCACCTCTCCTTCCACTTGGTGACTACCGGTTCATTCACATCCCCATAGGCGGCTAAAAATCACTCTTTTTCCCTCTACTTCATTAATTTAGTCATATTTAGTCGAATTGATCCCTCTAAATGCTAGTGGCTCTTATTGACCCCTCTATTACTAATTTTAAGAGAAGTTAGACCTTCTGTCCATCTCATGGACTACAATAAGGTGATGAATTATTCAGTCTAGGAGTACTGTATTCTGCCTCACACGAAAACATTGGATATATAAATTATTTTTATAATAGATTTCAAATTTTTGTGAAAAAAATAGAATATAATTCTTAACATATCTAATTATTTTTCACCATGAGATTGATCAAAAAATGTTACTGGACCAAGCAGCAGCTTCCTGCAAATGAAAAGCCGACATTTGCACATAAATAATTATCGAACTTAAGAGTTTAAAACCAAGCTAACTAGTTAAAAACACTTGAGAATCAAAGCTTTATATTATTCTTACATAATTCATGGATATCTTATGCTAATAGTAAATGCATTTCGTTAATAATTTTCAATAATGATTTTTTTCCCTTACTCCAACAGTAATTAACAGTACTTAATCCATAGACAGAGACAGAAAGAAAATTTAAATTAAAATAATTGAATTTAAATAGAAATATTTTTATTATTTTCAATAAATTTGTATGTGATTCTCTCTTTTTTTTTTTTTTTTATATGGTTCTCTCGCATCAAAATAAATTTATAGAGTAACTATTACTTCAATATTTAAAATTTTTTTCTCATAAGTCCAGTGATTGATTTTTTTCGATAAGTAAATTTTATAAAACAATTATATAAGAATAGCATTACTCGAGCATAGAGGCTTTCCGCCAATAGATTTTCTACATTATTATTTTAAAAAATTGAATAATAAAAGAAACCCAGTTCCGGTTTAGAAATATCAAAGTCCTACTATCCTAGTCTCTTCTTCTTCGTCTACTTTAGCAAGAGAGCAGGAGATGCTTGCCCATGGGCATGAAGTTGGTGAATTTGCAGTCTAATTCGCTGACAAAAATTGAAACAAAGGTTACAAGGTCAAAACGAAAAATGAAAGTGAGACAGAGCCATTTTGACTCCAACAGATCAGACATCAAACAGTACCTTCTTGTTATATGATTATAAAGAACCCTAAACGAGGTAGGGTTTTCACCGTTTCTAAATTATTCATATATTTAAATAATACTATTCATTTGATGATATTTTGTGGTTTCAAGGTAGTAGCATTTTCCTTATTTAAAATGTTTTTTTAGTCATTTATTTTTCTCCCAACACCATTCACCACCTTTCACCGTGCATTGCATTGAATGGTTTTTTGTTTTCTTTTTCTTCGTAATTTTAAGGTTTTTTTCAAGTATTTTATTCCTAAAGTTTTGCTCATTTTGATCTTTCATTCCTCATTTTTTTTAACAAATTTTATTTTAATCCATAACTTTATATTTATTATAATTTGGTTCCTGATTGCTAAAAGAAGAGAAAAAAGAAGAGAGAGAGGAGGGAAGAGAGATATATGCATGATTTTTTTAATGAATTTTTAAAATATTATTATTTGTTCTTAAAAAAATTAATATTATTTATATGATAATTTTTTAATTTGTAAATGATACAGCATGATTATATATATAATCTAAAGATTAGATAATGTCTTAATGACTTAGATTTTTTCAAAAAAAAAATATATATAAAATTTTAATTAATAATTCATGGATTTTTAAATTTTTTTCACAAGTTTTTAGTTAAAAATTCAGATATAAAAAAATAAATCATATTCTTTTTAGTAAAAAAAATTATAAAAAACATAATAAATAATTAGTTAAACACAAAATAAAAAATATTTTTATTTTTATTTTTGATTTGATATATTTTAATAGATTCATAATATAATACATATCATAAAATTAAAATTATTTTTTAAAATAATTTTACATTTTATGTCGAATCGACAACATTGCAACTTGGCTAGTGGAATTCTGTTCAAAGGTCTTCACCAAATCATTGGCAACCACGCATTTGACACAGAGAATCAGAGAAAAAAGGCATTTTCATAATTTCCTAAGACCAATTTTTATCAAAGTACCATGTAATGCCACTATAATATTTTTACCCCACCAGAGTAAACCCTAAAAAGCACTATGCAGCTCCCAAAAATACTCCATTCTCTGAGAATAAATCCTGACACCAAGTCTATCCCGAAGCACTACTATCAAGATTGAATGCGGTTATAGCTCCAAAATCTCTGAATATTGTCACATACTTAATACCCATTAGCATAACGCAGAGAATTGGTTCGAGAACGAATGCTGTGGTGGTTGTGTATGGGAGCTCCATAATCAACAGGCTTTATCACCATAGTTTCATGCTTCCCATCCTGCTCTTGAACTGCCCCAAATACAATCTCATTGGTTTTCTCACAGCTTTGCTCATAGTAAGTATGTGGGGTAGAGAATTGATACCGATGATGATACTGCTGTTTCTGTTTCTGTTGCTGTTGCTGCTGCTGAAAATCACCATCCCACCCACTATAGATAGAATGACCTTGTCGCCATTGATGCATCTTTTCTGTATCCTTCGACATGAATGGGTAGGTTTTCCTTGGCGTTGGGGTTCTGGTTTCAATTGAAGGAGGCTCATCTTCATCTGGTATCACAAAGCTGTCTTGCACAGGCCAAGAAGTTGATTGCTTCTGCTGCTGCTGCTGGTTTTGATATTGATAGCCGAGTGGCTTCTTTCTAAAACTGGGAACTACACCTCCCAAAATTTCTGCAATAGATGCCCAAGTGTTGATGACAAGCTTGCCAAGGGACCCAAATAGTCCTTCTTCATGCTTCTCCTGTTCATCTTCTGTCGGGATTAAAGGTGGCCTGAATGATTGGATAGGCTTCTGATAAGGAATTCCTGTAGTGCTTGTTTTCATTGCAACCTGATCCATCAGGAGCACAGCATAGGAGGTTAAACAATTTCTGTCATTGTGTACTAGGAGATGCTAAAATAGCAGATAAATGCTTTGTCAGGATAACCGATCTATGTTTGGCACTTGAGAGAAATGTTGCTGAACTACTTTCAGACAAGAGACAGCATTGCCATTTTGGTACTGAATAACATGAATGAACTAGAATTGCATGGATAACCTCAAAGAAGTGAATTATCTAAAAGAAATTTATTTTTCAATTTCGTTTGCATATATTTAGTTCCTCCTGTCAATGCCATGAAGCATAATTCTGCAAAAGCTTATCTGATCTAGTCATCCATTCAACAACAGACGGAAAAACTATTACACAGTTAACTAAACAAATAAAAAAAAAAACAGGGGAGAAAAAAAAAAGAACAAAACAATAGACAAGTTCAAATGACTTCATGGAGAATGATTTGTTCAACGGTTGATTATAAAGTATCCTTGTAATTATTCTATGGAGTAAGGATGCAAGAAATGACAAGAAAATAAGTCAACACTCACATTCTGAGGAGAAACAATCATTCCCACCCTACGCTGCAGCAATGCTAGCATGTATCCAAAGAAGCCAGCTGCTACCAGCACTGCAATTCCTGCAAAGAAGAAAGATCCCCTAAACATCAAAACATGTTGACAAACAATAGAAGACAAAATTCGGATGGATCAGTTTACCAAGAGGAAAACCACTTCCATATTGATAAGCACAGTCATCAAAATGCAGCTGGATCTCTCTGATGGCTCGGTTTCCTCTGTCTACAACAAGTAGGGAGCAACTGCTTCCAATGTAAACCACATCAAAATCATTAGAAAACTTTGCATCTTCACTTGCCCCGTCAACATGGCTCCCTCGGCCCCATTTCCCTCCAGCAATTGTTGTAACCCCTACAAGATGATTTTTCAACGATATCAGCTACTAGCATTTACAGCCACATCAGTGACAACCTTATATTGATAACAGTAATTATATATTTATCAAAGCCCACAATGATGTTGAGAGAAATCTAAGGTTGCCTTTAAACCCCCTCCCAAACAAAATACTGATAGCATCTACCTGCATCACTTATCTTCCTGATTGCCATATTCATGGTGTCTGCGATATAAATGTTTCCTCTATCATCTACAGTAAGCCCTTTTGGGTGGTTCATCTTTGCCTCTCTTAACTTTCCATCTACATGTCCAGAGTATCCTTCATGGGATCCAGCAACTAGCTTAGGTCTGCTGTCTGCACATTAATTTCCAAAAAGAAGAATGAATGCGTATATGGTTTAGGGTATAGGATATGTAGCAAATAGTTTAGAATGAATCCGACGTCATGAAAAGTGCAAATAAGAAAAAGAAATTTCTTTGTAAATTGCAGCATGCTTAAGTTGCGATCAATTTCTCTGTAAATTGCACCATGCTTAAGTTGCAATCGACCACAGTGCAAAGTGAGGAAAGAGGTATCTATATTGAACGTCGGGAGGCTATTTCCTAAGGAATAAGTTTATGTTGCCATCTCTTCCCGAACCCCTTCTTTTTTTTTTTTCACTAAAATTGAATAGCATTTTTTTCAATAGATGAAATTGATATGGCATCTGACATTCTGAGAAAACATCAGATGCGAAAAACTGAACAAGCAGCTTATCTGCATCCTAAATGCAAACTATTAAATCATGGACTTCAAGAATCTATGTTTTTAGGTTAATACAAAGTTTTTTTTTTTGTAAAAAAAAAGGTTCTGAGAAATGATTGGTAGAGGGAAAATAAATAAACATGACGCTCAAAACAATTGCATCAGAGAAACGAGGAAATTTATCCATAAAGACGAGAGCAATCAATCATTATCCCAAACCATTACAAAAAAACCCACTTACAGAGAGACAGAGAAGAAGATATCCTGTAAATGTTACTGTTAGCAGAGTCCAAAATCAGAAGCTCTCCACTGGGCAACACCTGCACAGAGTAAGGCTCAATCCCGAGCTTGCTTCCATCAAACACTGTCTCCACAGTATACCCACTCTCAAACTTCATCATTGGACGACCAGAGATCACTGCCCCCACAAATTTCATAAGCCTAAACCAGCCCAAAAAAAGAAAACAAGAAGAAGAAAAAGAGCAAAGGCGGGTAATAGAATCAGAGATCCGAACCTGTTTTGGTGGTGGCTTTGAGAGACCATAGCCACTTCATGAAAGCAGACACGACATTTGAGAAAAACCCAGCAACAATCTCTACAAAAGTAGAAGAAATTTAGCTAAAAAAATCAAGTCAATAAGCAAAAAACAGATCAAACAAAACCAGCTTACTCACTTGCTGGTGAAGTAGTAGTAGGAACTGAAGTGACACCTCCAAGAAACAAGAACATAATGAAACACAAAACCATCACATTTTTCCCCATTTGGCCCATTAATCGTATTTTCAAGGGAAATGTGAAGATTCAAGCTCTGTGCATTGGCAAGAAACCCTAGTTCATATCTGGGTTTTTAAGCAAAAAGTGAGTTTTTTGCAGATACTAGGAGTAAATATAAAAAGAAAAGTAGCTGATGAGAAGGGAGGATAGGAAAGGTGAAAAGAGACAAAGAAAAAGATGATAAAAAAAGGAAAAGGCTAGCGAGGCCACTGACTCGGAAACAGTTGGCGGTGGGGGTGCTACTGCTCTCTGCTAAGAGACACTGTTTTAAGCCAACGGAAGCAATATAAATCATTCATGTTTTCTTTGCCTGTTATTGTTAAGGAGAAATGAGGTTCGGTAGTCCCTGTAATATTCAATTTTTTGTTTGTTAATGTAGTCCCTCATCATCTAATATTTTTATAATGCAACCCCTGGACTAGTTTTTGTTATGAATCATCTCACGTATAAGTAGTCGCCAAATAAAAAGCTAATTTTTTTAAGAAAAAATCTATTATTTTTCCTCAAAATTACGTTATATGAATTTTAATTTTTTTAATACATAGAGTTAGTTTTTTTTTTCCTAACTAATTTAGTTATTTTAACGGCTCGGAAAATATAGGTTTTTTTGGTTTTTCTATTTCAACTTTTGAAAACATTTTATTTTAAGAATTAAGACTAACAAAATTAGATAGAAAGATCATATTAATAGACGGAAAGATGGTGCAAAGGCTACGTTAAAAAAATCATACAATGAAGATCATGTTAACAAAATTGAATAGTACAAGGACCACCAAATCACATTACCGCTGATTGTTAATTTCTTATAAATACTCTTTAAAAAAAAAATCGTATGTGATCGTGTCGTGCGTGATTTTTCTCCACTTGAAAGCGCAACGTCACATTTATTCCATATTTATTCTCTACCTAAGTGGAGTTCCTTTCTCTTCGAGCAACATTTATTTTTCGTCCTTCACCGCCTCCCTTTTCCTTTCGACCAGCTGCTTATTATTCGTTTAATTTCCAAACAGAAAAATGGGGATTTTTATTTTTTATTTTTTTATACTTCACCATTTCTTCTTTTTCTTTATGAAACCGTTTCGCATATCGTTATGGGTAGCGATCCGGTAGAAGGTCAAGTTTTCTGGATTCTTTTGAATTTCCCAGGGCAATCGTAAACTATTGGCAGATTAGAGATTAACCACCCGTTTTTCTTACTTTAAAATCTTTTCTGCACAGAAATTCTCTGCAAACACTGAGCCATCCCAATTGAAAAAAAAAAAAGAAGCCAACGGTACAGACTAATTAGACAATCGTCAAACTCATAATCCGCCTTACAAGCAAATGGGACATCCAAGATAGATTCAATCTCCTGAGCTCTTTATAATAATAATAATAATAATAATAATAATACCATATCAAATAACAATTAAATACTAACGGATATGCTTTTATGCCGTTGGAGGTTGTGCCCGTGCCTGATCCAGTTCAAAGGAGGAACTACATTCGACTCAGCTTCAAGGGTGTGTTTGTTAGAGCACTAACTATTTGGAGAGTATAAAATAAAAAACAATATTGACTTACAGCTGTGAAAAAATATATTGTGCAGTGTCTATTTGTTTCATAAGAAAACAACACCTTCCTTCTTTTTTTTTTTTTTCTTTTTCTGTCTACCGGTGAATGTTAGTTTTACATTCCTTGTATAATTTTAAAAATATACTTTTCACTTGTATTAACAATAATTTTTAAGTAAAAATTTATCACCATAATAGCCTAAGGTTACAATCTAAGTGCCGAGAATCCCAAAAAAAAAAAAAAGAAAAAAAAAGATAGAATAGCTGAATAGAGAATTAAAATTCTTGTACGGACAACTATTGATATTTTAAACAAATCACGGTAACTCAATTTGAACTAAATATGATTTTAATTTCAACGGTCATATATATAAATACAGATGATTTTAATGATTATATTTTGCAGTCTTTTGGGCTTAATTTTAAATGTTTTTTGTTGGTTTATCACTGATGGAGAGCTTTTCACTAGTACAGTCCAGCAGAAAATGCCCATGAACCCTTAGTTTTAAAACTCATCGTGTCCAACTCAAATCCATGGCTCACCAAAAGCAACAAACCCATTAAACGGGATCTAAAGTTTTCCGAAAAAATGACTACTCCTCGGGAAACGAGCTGCCTCCAGGAAAAGTTTTGGAATATTCCTATCCTACGGCGCCCAGGTTTAAAAAAACGTTGCATCTCTCTACTATTACTGGGAAACAAAGTGCTTGACAGCTTTTTCACCAGCTCCAAAGAAAAAAGATTCCTATGCCTTTTCTACCATACAAATTCCACTTACAATTAACCTGTATAAATCCTAGAACCACCATAACGAGAAAGATTTCAATTTTCCTAAGATTTCGATCTTCGAACTCTAATTTCTCTGGTCACCTTTTCTACGATTACCTGTACATGTTAAAAAGAGTTTTTAAACTAATTTGTGATCTTCCAACTACTAATTTAAATATCGAAGGATCCTTCACCAAACTAAAAGAATTTGTTTTGCAGTTATATTACACGAAATAACTTTTACTATACGCCATAACCATTAGACTTTCATCAATGTTTATATACACTGTATTTTGATTTTACTAGACGAGTCCACTCGTCTATCACATTCTTCCAAAATTAAAGAATTGCTCATAAGACAAAAAAAGATGAAAGATAGAAGGGAAAGCTCGAGATCGCAATAATATCCTTCAAGATCATGCTCCTTGATTTCTCTGGTTTGTTTTTTGTTTTTTCCTCTCTCTCTCTCGGATTGGGTAATCGTAACAGATCTTATCTGTTTCTTCGGAAAAAAGGATAGGAGGTGAGGATGATGAATGGATGAGTAGCCAACGATGCACTTCATTTCCCTTTTTTCGAGTTCATATGAAAGTTAAGGGAGGCCCAGGAACTGAGGCTTCCTTGCCAAAACCTATCTGCGTCAATTAATACAAAGCCCAATTAAGAGTATCGGGCCGTCATGTCTCCATTCTGGTTTGTTTTCTTTTAATTCTTTTTGTCAAATATGCCTTTGATTTGTTATCTTATAGTGAGATTTTCTAAAGTTCTCAAATATATACTTTCTTTTATCAAAATAGTATATATATATTTTTTATTTTTTAAAAAATATATATTTTTAATTTTATATGTGTTCATCAACTTGATTCATGGTCTTTTAAGTATATATATGGTTTTTTAAGTATTTCCTAACACTTAATAACCAACGTAAACTTTAAAGTCTTATCTTAAAAAAAATATTGTGCTCTAATTTTTTGGTTAGTGCATTAATTTTGTTTGAAATTTTGATTTTGATTGTAAATAAAAGGTTTAAATTGAACACTTTTTAGTTTTTAGGACCCAATACCAATTGAATTATAATTGATTGACAGTGAAATATTGAATAATTAAAAAATGAGATTGGTCAATAATTTATTTATGCATCAAATACTTTAGATTATATATCAAGTATTTGGTGATGGATACATAATAATGACGATAAAAAAAATGTTTTATTAAACATGTACAAAAACAACTAACTTTTAGACTTAAATATATTTAATAATCTCAATCTCGTTAAAACAAACGTAAGTCCCTCTTATCAATCGCAATTCCTTTTAAGTTTTTTTTTAACGATTTGTTTATAAAAGTAATAAATCCATTGGAAAGTTTAATGAGGTTTGAAATGCTTTTGTGAAGTGTTTTTTTTAGGGAAAAAAAGTTTTAAGTTGATACTTTTTAAAGTTTTTTTTTTTTTTTATGTTTTTAATCAAAACAATCAAAAAGCAAGGAAAAAAAATAAATTTCTAAATAAATTTTGAAAAATAGTTTAAATTATAGTATTAAACGTGTTATTAATCTAGTTGATAAATTATTTTATTTTCTACATTATCATATATGATTAAATTAAATCTATGAAAATCACAACAAAAATAATTTATCATAAACTTGTCAATTTGGTAGAGATAATTTACCCCTACTGAAAAAAGACTTATCTTGACAAACAAAATTAATGCAAATATATCTTACCATTAAAACTCAAAAAATACTTTAAATTCACAAGACTATTAAGTCGTTGCAGCTCTAGTGCCATTATGCCCAACATCTATAAGATAACAACTGTCCATTAATAATTAATAATCTGACCAAGTCAAATTGAAAAAACGCTATTGTCTTTTTGAAAGTATATTATAAATTAGTTACTCTAGTTTTGCAAAACGAACTAAATATTTTTTTCTTTTAAAAAATTAATTAATTAGTTAATTTTATCCATTTCATATTATTTTTTAGTTTTAAGAAGTAAGAAAGATAAAGAAAGAAATAAATATAACAGAGAAATTGATGAGAAAAAAGATTTTTTAGAATAAATTAACATTAAATTAAGTAAGATCAACATTTGTTAAAAACTAATTAATTAGTTTTGAAAACTAAAGGGCCTATTTACCTAGTTTTGTACAAATAAGGGACTAAATTTATGACCTTTAGTCCTTTTCTCTACCAAGATGGTGGCGTGGGTCCCTTTCTCCTCTAGTTCCTCAATTAAATAAATAAATAAATAAATAAAAGAGGAAAGAAATAATGGGCCGACACCGTCCCCCGTTTTAGAACAGTCTCTTTTGCTTTTTAATAAATTTTAATAATCAAAACGCGGAATTAATCTAATTAAAATCCAGAAATAAAAAATAAAACGGGAGAGAAGCTAAAGAAAGACAGAAGCTGGAAGAAGAGAAGACGTGTTTCGTGGATCTAAAATATTAGTTACTGGCTGCAAGTACTCCCTTCCTACCAATAGTATACTACCACTACTGGTTTATATATTGTACTAAATTTTCAGAGATTTGTTCAACGTTTGCAGCAACAGAGATTGAGATCTCCCTCTCGTGTTTGCATCTTCATGCGATCGGTAAACTTCTCTGCTTTGCTCTGTTTCAGATCATCAGATTTGCGTATTTTCTTTTACATTTTTAGATTTGAGCTTATCCTATCTGTTCTGTTACCTTACCTTTCTCAGGGGCATCGTAAGGATGGCGTTGAAAAGTAGTTCAGCTGATGGTAGAACTAGGAGTTCTATACAGATATTTATTGTAGTTGGGTTATGCTGTTTTTTTTACATCCTGGGTGCATGGCAAAGAAGTGGATTTGGCAAGGCTGACAATCTTGCTATGGAGATTACTAAGAGTACAGGGGACTGTAATATCATCCCAAATCTTAGTTTTGAGACCCATCATGGTGGTGAAGTTGGGCCCGACGATGATTCTGAATCTAAACCCAAAATTTTTCAGCCTTGCCATCCTCGTTTCACTGATTACACCCCTTGTCAAGATCAGAAGCGTGCTATGACTTTTTCTAGGGAAAATATGGTTTATCGAGAGAGACACTGTCCTAAAGATGAGAAGCTACGCTGCTTGATCCCAGCGCCTAAAGGTTATGTCACTCCATTTCCTTGGCCCAAGAGTCGGGACTACGTTCCCTTTGCTAATGCACCCTATAAGAGCTTGACTGTCGAGAAGGCTATTCAGAATTGGGTCCAATATGAGGGCAATGTGTTTAGGTTTCCAGGTGGAGGAACACAGTTTCCACAAGGAGCTGATAAGTATATTAATCAGCTAGCTTCGGTGTTGCCAATTACTAATGGGACAGTCAGAACTGTGTTAGACACGGGTTGTGGGGTATGTTAAGTTCTTCATATTTCTCTAGGAAACTGTGAATCTGCTTATAGTCCTTTTACATCTGGTTCTTATTATTCTTTATTTATACATCTAGGTTGCCAGTTTGGGTGCATACCTCTGGAGCAGGAATGTCATTACCATGTCATTTGCTCCAAGAGATTCACATGAAGCACAGGTCCAATTTGCTCTTGAAAGAGGTGTACCTGCTGTTATTGGTGTTATTGGTACTGTAAAGCTACCATATCCGTCCAGAGCCTTTGATATGGCTCATTGCTCTCGTTGCTTGATTCCATGGGGAGCTAATGGTGAGAGCCACTTCATACCAAGGAATTGCCTTTAGTTACGATAGCAGCATCTTAGGTGATGGGTTTTCTTTTTGCAGATGGGATGTACCTGATGGAGGTCGACCGAGTTCTCAGACCTGGTGGTTACTGGGTGCTTTCTGGACCTCCCATCAACTGGAAGAACAATTACAAATCATGGCAGCGTCCCAAGGAGGAACTTCAGGAGGAACAAAGAAAGATTGAAGAGACTGCCAAACTTCTTTGCTGGGATAAGAAGTATGAAAACCATGAAATGGCTATTTGGCAAAAGAGAGTAAATGCTGATACATGTCGTGGCAGACAAGATGATTCTAGAGCCAACTTTTGCAAATCTGCAGACGCAGATGATGTGTGGTATGGCTCTGCACTTAAAATTTCACTCCAGAGTATTGGCCAGACAATGCAACATGCTTACTCACTCATATGTGATGATATTTCTTGTGCTCCATCAACATTGATTCTATCACTATTTTCTCTTTTGTGCTTTAGATTTATCCCCATTTTTTATAATTACTAGGTACAAGAAAATGGAGGCATGCATTACTCCATATCCTGATGGTGGTAGCTCAGATGAAGTGGCTGGTGAGGAATTGAAGGTGTTTCCAGAGAGGCTCTATGCTTTCCCTCCTAGAGTTGCTAGTGGTTCTGTTCCTGGAGTTTCTGTTCAGACATACCGGGAGTACAATAATGAATGGAAAAAGCATGTAAATGCTTATAAGAAAATCAATAAGCTTATTGACTCTGGACGTTATCGCAACATTATGGATATGAATGCTGGGTTGGGAGGATTTGCTGCCGCCCTTCAGTCTCCGAAATTGTGGGTTATGAATGTGGTGCCAACTATAGCTGAGAAAAGTACACTGGGTGTGATATATGAGAGAGGATTGATTGGAATCTATCATGACTGGTAAAAATTTGATTTTTGTATCCATATTTTGAATACTTAAGCTTTTATGCGTCTTTTATAGCATTTTTCTCAAAGTACCGAGCAATGTTTATGATTTTTATGTTGCAATCTGGGAGAAGTTTGATGTGATTATACTGAATCTTTAGATATCTTGTGCCTAATACATTGCTCGAGGTACCCTCAAACATGCAATTCCAACAAAATCTACTTTCCACTAACATAATTTAGGTGTTTTTCCGTCATTGAGTTCTGAATCACTAAGATTTGGCCCTATGTTGACTAGATCCAGTTTCTGTAATTTTCATTTCAGGTTCTATTATAATTTATGATGATGAAGTGTTATTTATTTACAATGGTTGTCTATTACAGGTGTGAAGCTTTCTCCACATACCCAAGGACCTATGACCTTATTCATGCCAGTGGTGTCTTCAGTTTGTACAAGGACAAGTAAGTAATGCTTTAGTTCTTTGTGTTATGCTGACAAATAATTCCCTTTTTTTGGCTTAAATTTGCATCGCTTTATTTATTTGTCATATAAGCTCTTCTAATGGTGCTTCTCTGCTCCTCGCCGTGCTAATGCAAGCTTATATTTATGCATAATCCTATTATCTGTTTGTAGCAAGTGCTTAAGTACAATTAGCTTCTTTCTATTTGTGTAGTTGGGGTACAAGTACAGCTGAGATGTTCTGGAGTATCCATTTTTAAGTTTTCTTAAATCATTTCATTGGTGTATTTGTCAATATCATGTATACGTAGAAAATAGAAGTTATGATGCATGGTGCGTTCCTAGTTATTTTCTGTGTTCTTTCTTTCTGTTAGTGAAGCGAATAAAAATAACTCAAATAACAGGACATATGAGGAGGCCTGGTGGTTTATAGCCTTGTTTCATGTTTAAAACCCAGGTTCTGAACGCTTTTTCCTTGTATTCTTTCAACTATATAGACAAATGTTCAACCAAAACAATCTGCAGATGTCAAGTAGGCCATGAACTACTTAAACGATATATTTAGTTTAAGAATGAATCTGTCTCCTATAAGGGGTGAATCAGGGCTCTTATGCCAAGATGATCAAAATGAGACAATTTTAGCGTGAGATCTTACATTGCAATAAGACTTTGCGGTGTACTATATTGGACCAGATCACTTTGTCCTTGGTTATTGTGTAGCTTGTTGTATAAAATTCAGATGTGATCAGCCACTGAATGAATTGAATGATAACCTTATCATGTATGCCCATTATTAATTTTTGCTATCCTTGCACAAGCCCTAACATTGCTTCACCATTTGCTATTAGATCCTTGAATTGACATTTTAATTGAACTAAGGAACTTGTCTTTGTATAAGCTGAACCTCAGTGGTTAAAGTGCTCATCCAAAATCATCTTTTTTTTACTTTCTAGGTTTTGTGCGACTTCCACATTGTTTTTGTAAATTCCACACAATTCAGTAACGTTTTTAGACTGCACAGTTCATTCTTAAAATTCAGCACCTAATTCACTAAGGATTGCAGAGTTAAAACTTGGGTAATAGTTTATAGGTTAGGATTGGGTTTTAAGGGTAATGTAGATGATTTAGAAAAGTAAAAGGTTAGAGTTGGAAAAGGTAAATAAACCTAGAGATTCACTAGGGATTGCTTGAATCCACAAGGAAAATAGGAGACCTAGAGAAACACTAGGTAGAACAATTACTGCAAAGTTTTCAGTTATCTGTTTTATCATCCACCGCAATGCCCCCAAAATAATGTCTAGGAGCACTTAAATAGGCACCAAATCCCAGTGAAATCCAATATAAAATAGGCAACCAATAAAGTAGGTAACTCCAATAATTTCCTAAACAACAATAAAACGAGAATTTATTAGGCATTCCTAGTGTATTGCTCCCTTACATAAAAATGAGACCCACTGCAATAACTACCTAATGGTTCCCTCTATATCTGGAGTACCTAATAATCTCTCTAAAATAACTATAGCTAGGAAAAAATACTAGCTAACTAAACTAGGTAAATAGTTCTCCACCATTTAAGCTTTTAGCAAATGAACAAATTAATTACTAACGATGGAATCAAGTAAACAAAATAAACCTAGGGCCACTCCACGGGGAAGACATCACTCCTAGGAATTCTTAGACATCACACCTAGGAGAAGATGCATAACACCTGCAACCAAGGGTAGCCAAATAGTCATGTGACACCATCATGGATGTCTATGGATGTTGGAAAGCTCAACTGGCATCCAGTTCAAAAGCAGGTTTGGTTGCAACTTGTGTTAAGTTATGGAAACTGAAGTAGATGGGCCCTGCAGTTTAGGGTGTTACGCACCTGGCGGTCTGTTACTCTATTTTCTCGTCACAATTGCTGAGGATTAGGCGCAATTGCCGAACCACATAAATCTTTGTGTTGTGTGATTGTTCTTGTCTTTCTACTCTATTTTCTTGCCTGAATCGTTTCCTAACAACTTGGTTCCAACCAAATGTCGTGATCAAAAAAATTCTAGAATTGGTGCAGTACAAGGAAAGACATACTAGATTTCCCTAGGAGTTAAAAGTGGTTTGTTTCATTGCTGGAATCGCCAGTTGGCCTTTTACCTAAATGGAGGAATAGTGGATTTTGCACCATATTTAGTATGGGTGAATGCTAACATCTTGCCTCCAGCATTTGAAGTAGGGTCCATAGAGAATTATATCATGGTGACTTTGAAACAGGCTACTAGATCTTGTGGACTTTGCAGTATTCTAGATTGAGTTTTTAATTTACAGTTGTCACACGTCTTTTGTATTTTGTTGATGAGCACTTGTGGTGCGACCAACAACTCAACACAACTAAACTTTAGTTTCAAGCTTGTTAGGGTTGGTTTCATGGATTTTTGTGTGTCTACTTTGTCCCCTATGCCAGGTTTTGTTGTCTTTCATCTTTTTTGCTCCTGCTAAAATAAAAGTTTCTTTTCATTTTCATCTCTTCTATGGTGGTGCATCCATATTACTACATTGGACATGGCTGAATTACCTGAGATAATCTTTCCTTAATCTTTTAATGAACCCATTTCCACTGCCTATGGTAGAATCAATTAGTTTTAGTTCAGTTTGATTTGATCCTATGTTTCTTATGTCTCACGCCATTGTAACATATATACATTGTAATCAAATGATTGTAGGTGTGACATGGAGGACATTCTTCTGGAGATGGATCGGATTTTGCGACCGGAAGGTGCAGTTATATTCCGTGATGAAGTAGATGTTCTAATTAAGGTGAGGAAGGTGGTAGGAGGAATGAGATGGGATACGAAAATGGTGGACCATGAAGATGGTCCCTTGGTTCCTGAGAAGATATTAGTTGCTGTCAAACAGTATTGGGTTGCCGGTGGAAACTCTACCTCCACGCAGTGAATGGTGAATGGGAGGTTCTGGTGAAACCCTGTCATATTTGGGTGGCAGTGCTTTGTTGTACAACACGGCATATATTGATGTATTTAAGCATGGGTTTTTGATTCCTTGCGGAGTACTATAGAACATAGGGAGGGGGGTGGACACGATGTAATGTTTCACTACCTATTAATAGCCCATGCTCTCTTCTAGTGGTTATTTATAGACACCTACAAATCTCTCTCTGTTTAAGGTTTTTGATATCAATATTTTTGCTCATCTTTTTTCTCTCTGATGCTACTGCCAAATTGCCATAGACATTGGCTCTTCCGAATTCCCATTTATTACTGCAAAATTCTAATATTTTATTTGCAGGGGTAATTAACAATATTAATTTTATAGATCTATTTTAAAATCACATCTGCATCCAACAAATACAAAAAGGAAAAAATAATTATTGAAAAGTGATGAAAATATTTTCAGCTAGACTTAAATTTTTATTTTTAAAATTTTAGTTGTCCTATTTTTTTCTTTTTAATCTCTCTCTCTAGAATAAGTATTTCTTTAGTTATTCGTGTAATAAGATAAAATTTCTGTTCATAAGCTTAGGATTAATCCTATTATTGGTTCCTATGGTGTTTGTGTTTCCTTAACATGGTCTCTCTGTTGAAATAAAAGGCTTTTCCGTGGGCAACTTGTCCACGGAATTTGGAATCACAGCTTGCATGTGCAGGCTTGATCACTGCTTGCATGTGTAAGCTGCGGCAACTTGCATGCACCGCCTCAATTGAGGCGGTGCAAGCAAAGGGAGGTCCATAAATAGGCCTCCCCGCCTCATTCAAATATATCCCAAAATAAGAGAAAAAAAGAAAAAAGAAAAAGAGATTAGCTTCTAGAAAAATATAGAGAATCTTTTTCTTATTTCAAGAGAGAAATTTATTGTTTTCTCTTTGTAGTATAAAAAGATTGTAACTCCTATCATTTCTCATAGTGAAACTCTTTTATCTTGTCCGTGGTTTTTTCCTTTAATTTGTTTAAGGATTTTCCACATAAAATTTGTGTGTTCAATATTATTATTTTTTGTCAAATTTATAAGTCGCGAATCCTCGCTCTATTCGGTCAATAACACAACAAGTGGTATCGGAGCGTGGTTGTAGATCCCGCAAAGATATGTTATTGTAACAAGTAAAGAGTCCATGATATAAGCAATGGCGGCAAAGTTTGAAATTGAAAAATTCAACAAGAGCAATTTCTCATTATGGAAGTCGAAGATAAAGGCTATCTTGAGAAAAGATAATTGTCTAGCGGCCATCGACGAAAGGTCGAAAGAATACACAGATGACAATAAGTGGAACGAGATTGATGGAAATTGTATTACAAATCTTCATCCGGAATTAGCAGATGGGGTGTTGTCAAGCATTTAGGAGAAGGAAACAGCGAAGGAGATCCGAGATCATCTCACTAAGTTGTATGAGGTCAAATCACTCCACAATAAAAATTTCCTTAAGAGGAAACTTTATACTCTTCGTATGTTGGAATCTACTTTGGTGATGGAGCATGTCAATACTTTGAATATTCTATTTTCTCAACTCACATCATTGGGTTATAAAATAGATGAAAGTGAACGTGTTGAACTTTTACTTCAAAGTCTACCGATTCATATGATTAACTCATCATCAATTTAACAAATAATATCTTTACGGATTATCTAGTTTTCGACGATGTTGCGAACTGCTATTCCGGAAGAAGAAAATCGGTGCAAGAACAAGGAAGACAGACGAGCAAGTTCACAACAAGTGGAGGCCTTGTTGGTGACGAGAGGAAGATCAACGAAATATGGCCCAAGTGGGAGCCACAATCATCGTAGGTCAAAATCAAAAGATAAAAAGATCTTAAATGTTATAATTGTGGCAAGAAAGGTCACCCGAAAAAGGATTATTGGAATTTGAAAATTTTAAATCCTCAAGGAAACATGGCGAGCAATTTAGATGATGGGAACGATTTGTATTATGAAGTAGCAACAACGCATGAATAAAAAAAAGATTTATTGATGTGTGGTTGTTCGACTTAGGAGCTAATTTTCATATGACCTCTAGAAAAGAATGGTTCTATAATTATGAACCTATCTTAGGAGGAACTGTGTATAGCTATAATGATCATGCTTTCAAGGTCATTGGAGTTAGAACCATCAAGTCGAAGATCTATGATGGTACAATTCATATTTTTCAATAAGTGCGGCATGTGGAGGGCCCGAAGAAGAACCTTTTATCTTTAGGGCAACTAGATGATCTTAAGTGCAAGATCGAGATAAAAAAACAAGATCATGAAGATTATTCAAGGTGCGTTTGTACTTATGAAGGGAGAAAAGATAGGTGCTAACTTGTATATGTTACAAGGAGAGACTTTATCGGAAGCGAAGCATCGGTTGCTTCAAGTAGTTCAAATGAAAGATCTACAATGTTGTGGTATCAAAAACTTAGACATATGTCCGAACAAGGAATGAAAATTCTTGTCGAGCAAAAGCTACTTCTAGGCCTCACAAAGGTATCATTACCTCTTTGTGAACATTGTATTACAAGTAAGAAGCATTGTTTAAAGTTTTTCACATCAAATTCTAGAAGTAAGGCTATTCTAGAATTAGTTCACTTTGATGTATGGCAAGCTCTAGTTCTATCCCTAGGAGGAGCGAAGTACTTTGTGTCCTTCATTGATGATTATTCCGGAAGGTGTTGGGTGTATCCAATCAAAGAAAGTCGGATGTGTTTTTAGTCTTCAAAGTTTATAAAGTGCGGGTTGAACTTGATTCTAGTAAGAAGATCAAGTGTCCGAGGACGAATAATGGAGAAGAATACACTCGGTGATGAATTTGATACATTCTATAAATAAGAAGGTATTAAAAAATAGTTCACAATTGCATACACTCCTCAATAAAATTGAGTGATAGAGCGGATGAACGTAACCTTGTTAGAAAGAACAAGAGCAATATTGAGGACTCGTAGGCTTAAGAAAGGCATTCGGGAAAAAACGATCAATACCGTCCGTTATGTTATGAATTAGGCCCCATCAATTACAATTAAGTTGAAGACACCAATGGAGATGTGGATTGGTAAGCTAATTGATTATTCAAACTTTCATATATTTGAAAATCTTATGTACGCAATGTACAATGCTCAAGAAATCACAAAGCTAGATCCCAAATCCAGGAAATGCTTATTCTTGGGGTATGCTTGATAGAGTGAAAGGGTATCGATCGTGAGATCCCACCGCCCATAAGGTTATTGTACGCGAGGATGTCATATTTTTAGAAAAAGATCTACAAAGAAAAGAATAAGATGATAGCACTTCAAATACTACAATGGTATAGGTAGAAAAGGAAGTTGAACAAATTAATTCTTTTGAAGAAACACCGAGCACGAGGTACAAGAACCAATCGAGTCTAAAGTTTTAGAATCTCGTCGATCAAATAGCATAAAAAGGCGACCAGATTGACATTCTAACTATGTTATAGAGAGCAATGTTGCATACCGCCTTTTAACTAAGGAAGGGGAACCATCAACACTCTAAGAGGCACCGAGTTACTAGATGCAAATCGATAGATTACAAGCAATACATGAAGAAATGAAAAACTCTTTATAAGAATAAGACGTGAAAACTTATGCTCGCTACTATAAGGAAGAAAGGCCATTGATAATAAATAGGTCTATAAGATCAAGTGGAATAGTGATGATTAAGTGGAGCGGTATCATGCAAGATTGATGCTGAAATGATATGCTCGGAAAGAAGGAATTAACTTTAATGAAATATTCTCATATGTGGTTCCACTTACAACGGTCCGAGTAGTCCCGACAACTTGTGTTATGTTTGACTTACATCTAGAGCAGCTAGATATGAAAATGGCTTTCTTCATAGAGATCTTGAAAAAGAGATTTATATGCTCCAACTATAAGGTTTTGAAGAAAAAGGAAAAGAGAACTTGACTTGTAGGTTGACTAAATCTCTGTATGGTCTAAAACGGACACCGAGGTGTTGGTACAAGAGATTTGATTCATTCATTACGAGCCTTGGATACAACGAACTTAATGCAAACCTTTGTGTATATTTCAAGAGGTTTAGTGAAAATTATTTTATTATTTTGTCGTTGTATGTCAACGACATGTTGGTAGCAGAGCCCCAACAAAGATCATATTACAAAATTGAAGTCACGATTAGCTAGGGAATTTGAAATGAAAGATTTAAGACTAGCAAACAAGATTCTAAGGATGCAAATTCATCGAGAAAGAAATAATAGAAAGATTTGGCTTTCTCAAAAGACTTATTTGAAGAAGATTTTACGGCGTTTCAATATGCAATATTGTAAGCCAATTTCTACCCCACTTTCTATTAATTTCAAGTTATCCTCCAAGTATGAGTCTTAGCAAGTGAAGAAGAGAGGATAGAGATGTCTCGAGTACCATATGCATCGGTAATGGAAATTTTAATGTTCACCATAATTTGTACAAGGCCGGACATTGCGCATGTAGTGGGAATGGGTAGTCGGTACATGGTAAATCCCGGTAGAGAGCATTGGAATGTGATAAAGAGGATCCTAAGATACATTTAGGGGACCTCGGTTGTTGGATTATGTTATGGAAGTTCGTAATTTATCGTCAGCGACTATGTTGATTTCGATTATGCAGGTGATATGGATAAAAGCAAATCAACCACGGGTTGTGTGTTTATACAACACAACACTCTCTACATTTTTTTTCTTAGTTGGTTCCTTTGCTTAAGAAAATTTCTAGCATCTAACATAGTCCCTCGATCAATTTTTGCCTAATTTATCGTTATTTTTTGACATATGGTCCGACATGTGTCTTAACGTGTCCGCTTTTTCCGACACGTTGACAAAAAAATGATGATAAATTGAACGAAGAAGCATATTCGGAAATTTTATTGAACGAGAGGACTAATTAAATAAAAAGAGTAGAAGGGTCGTATGGAGAAAATATTGAAAGCGCATGGACAAAAGGAGACGTAATTAGGGATCTTTTTTCTCTTATCACGGTCCGCATTTTGTTCATGCCTAACCACCGGAATAGATATATTTCGCTATAATGAATATCGTCAATGGAAAGCCTCTAGCCTCGCATATAGTTGGGTGAGATTGGTGGCTATCTTGAGTTTTCTTTACGGAAGATTTTTGTAGGGCTAAATAGATCAAAAGTTATATGAATTTTAGCGTATTGAAAAATTTGAATTTTTAATTTCTAATTTGATCTTCTCTTGATTTTTTTTATATCTAGTTTATTTTATAATGTTCAACTATCACTTCTCTTTTTTAAAAAATTCATTTTTTGGTATTTTGAGCTGAATTTTTGCATATATATTGAGAAAAATTCAATTTTTTTTTAAATTCCTATATTTCTTTAAGATTAAAAAAAATATTTTTTATTTTTTGAATATTAAAAATATAGAAAATTAAAAAATTAAAAAATAATTCATAATGATTTCAAAATAATTTTTGAAGGACCCTAGATAAACCTAACATAATAATTTTTATCATGTGAGTGTTTATGTGACTACTTTTATTTATTTATTTATTTATTTTTTACAAAAGACCTAAAAAATAAGTTAAAATCTCAAAAAAAAAAAAAAAAATTAGAGGAGGTCAAATTCAAAAATAGAAGTTCGAGAACTGATTTTCAAACAAAATAAAATTTAAGAGAGGTTTCAATCATTTAGCAGTTTTTTTTTTTTTTTTAATATTGAAAAAAAGATAGAATTGGCAATGACTTGATATGGACTTCCAACTATATACTCTCTGTTTAAAAAAAATTGTTTTATTTGACTTTTCACATAATTTCAGAAAATCATTGATTATCATATAAGTTTTTTTTTGGTTCATTGCGCGTATGAAAATGAGGATCTACGTCCAACTTATCGACCAGGACAATTCTAGAGAATTGGTAGTTCTTTCCAAGATATTAATGCCGATCGATTGGTTCTTGTACTAATAGTTAAAACTGCCCGGAACTTTCACCATTGGTCAAGAACCCAAGCCTAACCCCACCCACCACGAAAGTAAGAAGTACGTTAATTAAATGAAGCTCGCTCCCAGGGCTATTCTAGTCCAATTAACAACAATGGTGACATCACCATGACTTTTTAATAATAATTTATCAACATTATATATATATTCAAAGAATTTAGGATTTCAGATTCTTAACTCTTTAAATTCATAATTATTGCTAATCATTTTCATATGTCTTGTTTATATATATATATATATATATATATATATATATATTCAAAGAATTTAGGATTTCAGATTCTTAACTCTTTGAACTCATAATTATTGTTTATCATTTTCATCTATATATTACTTTATATAAAAAGTGATTTATGATATATCTATCTAGAAAATATTAATTAATTTATTAAAAAGTTCTCCTATCCATCACGAAGGATTTATCTTGTAAATATTACTAGTAGCTCAATCACCGACACATTTTTTTTTTCAAATTCATCTACGCCACCACTCAAGATAACCACTATATACTTCATTAATTGAGATTCACGATTTCGTCACTAAGGATTTTACATGGTTTGTGCAATGCCACGTAAAAATTATATGAAGACATTATATTAAAGAGATTGCAAAAGTGCAAAAAGAGGGAAAAAAAAAATTAACTGCACAAGATGATGATAGGTGTCCTGAAAAATATCATATCTCAAAATTGTCAAATGGTTCAATCGATGAATTTTGGCTAGCCTAATAACATTGAGGTACTTGGAGATTTTTTTTTTTTTTTTGTAAAGCCCAAAACCAAAAATATATAGGTTGATTTGGCCAAATTTATTGTAGAAGGATTGATTTAACCAAATTCACGTAATATCGGGCCATCCCGTAAATTTTAGCCTTTCTGCCATAAATGATGATGGCTCTTGATTTATGTCATTTTGCCTCCAAATAAAAAAAAAAAAAAAAGCGCCAGTTAATGATACACGTGTTTTGACTCGATTCTCAATTTCCATTACATCGAGGAGACGGCTGGCCCGACGCCGACAGGGATAAAAGTGCGAAACTAGTGGAAAAGTGGGAACATCTTGCAAGATTTTAAACATTAAGGATTGACTTGTCGAACATCCTTCTATATTAGGGACTGAGTTGTAGTTATCAAAAGAAATTCTCTTCTTTCATGGCAATTTGATGCACGAAGAAGGGAGGGAGGAGAAGAAACAACACCATAGGAAAAACAAAGAGAAAAAACAATGCTTTGCTTGTTTAATGGCTTGGTGAGTCGTGGGAGATCTTGGAAGAGGTAATAAATCCTCCTCCATTATTTTCTACATTTGCTTCCATGTTGCGATTTGATCTTTAAATTTTTATGGGCATCGCATCTATCACGGTATTATAATCAATATGATCTAGTCCATCCATCCAGAAACCAAACCAGACCAAATGGGTGTTCATAAATTGTTACATGCGGTGGGTCCTCGTCGAGGAAGGAGGTTGGGTCGAATTTTTAGAGCAGCACTCAGTTTCAGGTCGTGGCTCTTACTGCTTCCTCTACTCTGCTTATTGTCTTTTGCGCTTTTTGGCCTCAAATTCGTTATACTTGTTGGTCATGGTAAGCCCCTTTCCCTTCCCTTCCGTAGATAATAATACTACTGTGATTGCATAATTTTCCATTTAAATTCTTCTTTCTTTGCTGGGCTGGCTGGGTTTGTAGGTGGTAGCATGGAAAATCGCATGTCATCTTCACACCAACAGCATATCAGTGGTAATGAGGAAAGATTTTACAAGGAAGTAGAGAAACAACAACTACAACACTCTCGATATGGTGGTGTTGAAATAAAAGCACAAGGAGGCAAGCACCGGAAGCAGCGTAAGACAAAAGCTCTTTTTAATCACTTATTATTTTGATGAAGTTGTTTTGGTCAGGAACATTTAACTTTATAAGTATGCTTTTAGATTTTCGTATGAATTTGAATTCTTTAATGCATTTATGACCTTTGTTTTATTGAATCCTGTACAATAATGTCATCGAAAGAAATTCCATATGGTACTTTTTGTCATTTTGATTTTCTTTTTGTGCTCCGGGATTTGAGGCAAAATTATGCATTTGCTCTGCAAACCACAAGATTCTTATAATGGGAATTACTATACTGATCTATGTTATCTTCTCCGAGTTTTTGAACTTGAGAGGATAACAAACATAAAGGGTTTAGAAGATTCTTCAGACTAGAGGTAGAGGCTTGAAGAATTCAGCTTTCTAAAACGCATTGTTGAGAACTATTGACTTTATCATTGATATTATGTTAATGCAAATGCCACAAATAATATTCTAGTTACACATGAGTGGATAATTTAGTTTTTCTGAGTTTGGGCATTTTTTGCAAGTAATTTTGTTTCTTTGACCATATTGTTGTGCTCCCCCACCCCCATCAATTTTGATCTTTCAGATTTTCCTTGTGAAATCGTGTTCACGGAAACGGTTGATTATCTTGTTGAACCTACGGGAAGTTTTACGCAATTTTCGCTCCAGTATGTGGCTATGGAAGAGAAACCTTTGGGGGTCAATTCATTTGAATCTAGGTTTGGAGGACATCAGACACTTGAGGAAAGGGAGAAGTCTTTCTATGCTCGTAATCAAACTCTTCATTGTGGTTTTGTTAAAGGACCTCCTGGATTTCCAAGCACTGGATTTGATTTTGATGAAAAGGACATGGCATACATGAGCACCTGTCGGGTTGCTGTATCTTCTTGTATTTTCGGGAGTTCTGACTTTCTAAGGAGGCCCACGAGCAAAAAAGTAAAGTACTTCTAAATTTCATGCCCATTAGATAGAATGTTTAACAGCTTTGGTTTGAATCGATTTATTTTTGCAGTAGCTGGATTTTGCTTTTCAACCTATACATCATATAGTTATTCCTGATCAGATTAATCGTAATTTTCATTTGGTTATATTTATTATCCTATCATTAAGTCGATTGGAAACAGAAGTTATGGTACAGAGTCAACAACAGTTTTCCTAAGATAACTTTGTACTGGAAGACATTCTACTGGCTGAAAGAGAATTAGAAAGGTAGTATAAGTGAGATATTCTTTTGCAAATACAAAACAAAAGAATCATCCTACTCCAGGTTTTCTTCGTTTCTCTTGCTTTGCTCTTTGATGTGTGAACTTCTAGGGAACTATTTAGAAGTTGATGTGAGCATGTCTATTTAACATGTAATGTATGAGAAACCTTGTGTTATCTGCTGAGACTATGATGCTAGAAAATGGAAAGTTCAAATTTAGGTGCCTATTGGTGTATAATCCTCGTGTGTTTTCTATTCAATAGAAGTTTGTTTTCCCTTTTATTTTAATTAAATTCCGGGACAGACAACATATCTGCTTCTTTCAAAGTAAATTTATTGAAAGTATCAATAATAGCTGTAATATCACATGAAAGTGGCAGCAAAATGTTTGACAAAAGCGACATGATGTGAATTACTGAAGGGTGCATGAAGCACCCTTTGGATGTTGATCTTGATCTTGATCATGATTTCTGCTTTTGTTTGTTTCAGATTAGTGAATTTTCCAAGAAAAATGTTTGTTTTGTTATGTTTGTGGATGAGCAAACACTGTCCAAATTGGCTTCAGATGGACATGTCCTAGATAATAGAGGATTTGTTGGTCTATGGAGACTAGTTGTTGTCAGGAACTTACCATACAAGGACATGCGGAGAACTGGCAAGGTGCCAAAATTTTTATCGCACCGCATCTTCCCTTCTTCTAGGTAATTATCACATCATGATTTAATTATGTGGCTTATGGCTGTAGGCCTTTCCTTTGCTGTTGCAATCTAAGATCCATAATGTAATTTATTTATTCACGTACTCCTTTTCCAGGTACTCAATTTGGCTTGACAGTAAGATGCGACTTAATGCTGATCCAATGCTGATAATTGAATACTTTTTGTGGCGAACAAGATCAGAATATGCCATTTCAAACCATTATGATCGTCACTGTGTCTGGGAGGAGGTGCTCCAAAATAAGCGCCTAAATAAGTACAATGAAACGGCTATTGATGAACAGTTCAATTTTTACCAGTCTGATGGCCTCAGCAAGTTTGACCCTTCAGATCCGAATACTCCTTTACCAAGTTGTATGTATCTTGGTGTCTTGTTTTGGTTTTCGAGATTGAGTTTCCCTTTATTTTACAACAGTCCACCTGTTTTTTTTTTCTTCCTCCTCAAATTCAATCCAGCTGTTTGGTTCATATGCTTTGCAGATGTGCCTGAAGGTTCATTTATTGTTCGGGCTCATACACCAATGTCAAATTTATTTTCGTGCCTCTGGTTCAATGAAGTTGATCGATTTACTTCTCGTGATCAACTGAGCTTTGCATACACTTACTTGAAACTCAGAAGATTGAATCCCAATCAACCATTCTACCTAAATATGTTCAAGGTATAATATATTGCCGACAAATCTATCATTATGTGTAACTGATTATATTACAAGTCAGACCACGCAGCATGCTAGCGGTAACTGTGCATTAATTGGAACTCTGACCAGCTAGTCCCTTATCTTACAGTGTCAATTTATCCAAGCATGGTGTCTCTCAGCAAAGTCCCTCATCTTACTGTATCAATTTATCTGGGCACGATATCTTTCAGCAAAGTTGCCATCTGTTATTTGCTAAGGATATGTCTAGATGCAAGTTTAATGAGAATGCATGCCATCCTCTTTTTAATTGTTGTTGCCTGAGAAGTCTACTAATGAAATCATTGTATTTTGACATGTTTTGTCTTTCTAAACAATTGTCATTGTAAGATCCTTTCCTCTCTTGTTGGCAGTATTTTGTGTGTTCCTTCTGTTTTGAGGTTATCCGTGGAAAAGAATCATAAACAATTAGCATAAGTTAATAATCTTTTGTTGATTTGGTGCAGGATTGTGAACGCCGGGCACTAGCAAAGCTATTCCGGCACCGGGCACCCCCATCATCTCCACCTGGTCATTGATGAATTGAGATTTGTTTGGCAGTTATGGCTTGCCTGGTAAGATAAGGATCTCCTACCCCACCCTCACTCCTCTTCTTCCCTATCTCTGTCTTTCCTGTTGATCGCTTCACTTAGAGTGCCTTAAATGCCAAAAAGGCATAGAAGTTACTTTTCTGGATATCTTACTTGCGATCAAGACACCCTTATCAAGGAGCATTCGATACAGATTTGACTTCAGGATCAACTGCACTCTGCTTTCACTGGCAGAAACCTTAGAATGGGATTGCAGCACTGTTTTTATTGGTTATCAGATAAATAGCTAGTTGTGGGATCCATTCAATAGTAACAAAGAGAGATTCTGTGGATTTTTTTTTAACTTTTAACCTGTTGTATTGGTCCAGTGGTGGATCCTGATATTTGGGTTCCATGCATAGTGACAGAACCTGTGTCAGTTGCTGTGATGTGATTATTGAGTCTAGTTCATAGCGCCAATTAGTAGATCAGGCAACTCTAAACTTCTTACATGAATGTCACTACATTTGATGACATATTTTGTGGGTAAAATTCTTTAATTTTCCAATCAAATCTATCTGGTTGTTGTCTAAGCAATCCTTCTTTTCTTTTTCTTTTTCTTGTTCTCTTGGGGAAAAGAGAGGCTGCATATAACACCAAACTGTCATTTCCTAAGAATTTGTGTGCAATTACAGTCCAACTGTGAATTTAATTTTTTTTTTATTGGGTGCAATCGTCTTGTAAGCTTCCTTGTAAATCCAAATTGGAAAATTTCCAGCTTAGATAAGCTCAACTGAAATACTGTGTGGGATAGGTTTTTGGTCATGCAATCTTTTGATTTGATTGGTTGATTTGATTTCTCGAGTACAAGGCAAAATCAATGTTAACATAACTTGCATGTGAGTTATAGCTGAAATTGTGTAACTGTAACAGGCTGAAATCACGGGTTTGGAATTCTCCTTATTGAAGTCTTGCTGTTCTTAAAGTTGCATGGGAATTGAGTTTACACATCAATAATGGTGATATTTGGAATCTCATGTGACAAAACTGTCACATACTATTTTCCATGGAATTTTTTGGCAGATGTGTAAATAATGTGAAATTATATGGTAGTCTTTAAGACCGCTGCTTTGTTGATACTAAAAATGTTTAGCACATATCAAACTTTTGATTGCATGATTATAACTTATCAAGGTGGATGGCAGTGCATGCATTCCATGTTTGCTTACAATGTATCAAGGTGGATGACCAAGTGTAAGACCGCAATGGGAATGAAGCTTTGACATAAAGCTACTCGATAGGTCCACAATAATTACAGAATCTGAGCAAGTTTTTTGTTGGATTTTACATTGTCTGTGCAGGGACATCCACGGATAAAAAAAAGGTTTCTATGCGATTGCCTCTAGCTGTTTGAAGAATCTAACAGATGATCTGCTGCCTCGTGAGTTATGACAGAATTTGTTATGTTTTGCAATGTAGCTGATGGTGATGACTTTGGAGCTCTGAAATATTTGGCCAAGTAATCTTTGACAAAGAGGGGATACTGATCTCTCCTTACTACATGGTCAAATTGGGCATTAGTGGTCAGCTAAATAATTTGGTAATGGGATGCAGAGATGGTCAGTGAAATTGGCATGTGACCTTGCACTTCATCGCTGAAATAACTGTTAGTTTTGAGTTTCGACTTACCAACAGAAGGGGGAAAGAGGGCGAGGGTTTGCTACAATGGCACCGGAAAATGCTCTTAAGTTTGATGTTGGTGTTCCAGACATACATGGAGGGAGATGACATTGCTTTTCCATGATTATTTGGGAGTTGTTCTCTCCTTTAACGGTGAAGAAAGCTGCTAAGTGCCAAACATATCTTCTTTTTTTTTTTTTTTTTTTAACCTTCAATCTTTTCGTATAGCATACTTGGTTGGTTGGACACTTTTACTAGTAGAGAGAATGTGTTCTTCGACTGTTCAAGAGCATGCTGATCAAAATTTTGATATTTTTCTTTGAAGTATCACCAAGCTGTTCTCTTAGAAGTCGGACGGCAGAAGTGTAATCGTTATGCAGGCTTCTCTGGGAAGATTGTTATCTCTACAACACACAAACAACAGAGAGATGGAAAGAAGTTTTGTAAATGCACAGCATGCAAATCATGGTCTTTAGTGAGACTTGTAACTTTTTTTGAACATGCAAATCATGGTTTGAATGATATTGCAGAACCACCTTGCTTTGGACTTCGCAAATTTGCAATGCGCAGTGGTGGCTTAAAGAAGATAGGAATGAAGTGTAGAAAAATCGCTTCCATTCTTGTTGCCAAACATTTTTCCACTCACCGCCACCACTTTTCTAAGCATACTAGCAATGTTGCCTGCAGGTTTCTGAAGGTACATAATTTAGTCGTTTCGAAAATAATCTTTCAAGTGGAATGAACGTGAAAATAAAGGTTTATGATTAAATAGGGTTTTATCTTTTATTGGACCTTCCCTGGGAACAAAAACCTTAGATGCTCTTTTCTTCTTGATAAATATTCCATGCATTTAAATATTCCTACAAGAGGCTTGCACATACTGATCCCAAAAACAATTCCTTTCCCTTGAGATGTGTGAAGTAGGAAATCACATTAAAGTTTCAGCAAGCAAACAAGGCTAAGCATGAAGGTTCAAGGATGAGTCATGGAGTCGTGCTTTGCTATTACAATCATTCCATTAACTTGCATGTTTGGTCGAAAGTTTTACTAATATTTTATTTTAAAAAAAATGGAAAAACTTTAAGAGTATATATCAACCCTTGAAATTAATGATAATTTTTAAAAATACACATAAATCATTGAGTTAATAAAAATTTTAAAAATACGCATAAAATCTTCGAATTAGTGAATCCTTCGAACCACGTATGTGTTGGATTCTTGAATTTTTTTTTCATATTATTATTCTTTTTTTTTTTTTTAATTCAAACATTCTTTATTTGGGAAAGGATATGCAGTGGCGAAGGTGAAAACGAGAAGGCATAAGGAGTTCTAAAATCTAAAGAGTAGTACCATCTTGAAAGGAAATTCGTGTAGAAAACGCATATATTAGAATTTGAATGAATATCGAAAAGGCGAAGGCCGCCGCTCCTAGTAGTTATCGTCCAAAATTAGCTGCGTCGCCAAATGGAAGCTTGCTTGGCGAAATGCTCTCATGGGAACGCTTTGTTTAAAGCTCTGAAACCTCTCAAATTGAAGCTCTCGAGCTCTTCTTCCATGTCCATCCACTCTGCTGGTCACTCTCTCTTTCTACTAGCTTTTTATTTATTTACTACCATTTATATATGGGTATTCTATTTCAATAATCTGATCAGATTCATTCACTTTGCTACTTTACGCTGCAGGAGGAATAAAATCTGTTAAAAAAGCATATGATGCGTTATTGTTGGATGCTGGTGGAACCCTATTGCAATTGGCAAAGCCTGTTGAAGAAACTTACGCTTCCATTGGAAGAAAATATGGTTTTTTTTTTCACTTCTTTTTATGCCATCACTCCTATTTTACATTTGGGAAAATCTGCTATTTCTGGATTAGAATGAAGTGATTTGCATCAGGGATTTAACAGTCAACAGTTTGAGTTTAAGTATTGAATTTGAAATGGGTTCGGTTTATTATACATAGAGTTAGAAAATAGGAACATTGGGTATGAATTAAATAAATGCCATACACGAGATCTTGATCTATTCTTCAATAATTGCTAGCTTCGCTGTTTATGGCTGATCATTTATTATGTAATTAATACAATCTTATACTTGGTCACACAATTTTTGTTTCCACTCATTTCTTTGCTCGCCTTGTAAGTTATTTTCAAACCTAACTCGATTTATGGTTCCAGGTCTGACTGCAAGTTCAGCTGATATAAAGCAAGGATTTAAGAGAGCTTTCGCTGCTCCATGGCCTGAAAAACTCCGTTACCAGGTATTTTTCTTTTTTGTAATGGGTGTGTCATTCCTTGGTTCTGTATTCTCAGTGATAGAAAACCTGCATTGATTTGCTTTAGTTCTCTGGGAGCATTGTTGCTCTCTCCTTGAGGTATTTCCCTGATGTTTTAAATATGTTCCTTTTCGGCTTTATCATTTTAGCATCTTTGACTTCTTCTTTAGTTCTTTTTTGTGTTTTTATTTGGTCCTGAATAAGTTGTTTGTGACTGCTTTATGTTTCCTCAACAAATAAATGCTACATAAATTATAGCGTGTGCTACATCTGAATCTCTAAAAGATACAGTGATCTAGATTTGTTGAGAATTATCAGTGACCATCTGCACCTTATGCTTTCTTTATGCGCCATTGTTCTCCTTTTGTTCTTTGGTAGTTCTGCTGGATTTATTTACTCATTAAAGCGAGATGTTGATGAAGGCAGATTCTGCTGCATTTTATGTGGCATGCATTAATTTCATAAACACTCTAATGCTGAAAAGTTATTGAAGTTATTTCAAGAAAAATAGCTGTCCAAAGGCTCCCTAACTTCTGATTTGTTAGTAACTAAAATTTTTCAAATAAATTTGCTTTCCCATTCTTTTCATATTCAGTGGTAAATAGAGAATACTCTTATTTGAAACTGGTGAAATATGTCAGAATTTTCTTATTTAGAACTGGTGAAATATGTTCCTACTGTGGAGGTCCCGTATGAAGTGAAAAACATGCATTTTACTTTCTGAAACCTAAGATTGACTGCTATGACTGTTTTATTGAGAAGTATTTTCATTGTGATAGACCACATCACATTTTTTTAACGCATTGATTAAATATCTTGCACTCCTTTTTCTATGTCGTCATCTTTTCCTTGTCTTACAAGGTAGTTTCAATTTATTTGATACATTGGAAGCTTTGACTGAAGCCCATTCTAACATCTTTTCTACTTCTGAGTTGTGATAGGGGGATGGGCGGCCATTTTGGAAACTTCTTGTTTCTGAAGCCACTGGTTTCACCAATGATGATTATTTTGAAGAAGTCTATAAGGTAATATTTCATGACAGCAGCCTAAAGTTATCATAATGCTAAAACAGATTATAAGAAAGTGCATATGCTTGGTTCTTAACCTCTCATCACCCATGGATATGCAAATAATTTAGGCTAAAAGATACTGGACCTCCTTGAACTATTGGTCAACGAAAACTTAATCTTGGAACTTCAGTTTTCTTGATTTTAAAGTATTCAAAAAAAATTTTGTTTCTTCTGTTAGGCATTATAGAAAAACAAAAGAAAAGGCGTGCATTTTCTTTTTCTCAACAGAAAATCAATGGAGTAAGTATGAGTGATATCCTATGCCTTTATATTTACAACTGAAATGTAGAGACTGCTATTCTATCCAAAAAAAAAAAAAAAAAAAAAAAGAAGAAATCCAGACAGTGCTAACAGGACTCGGTTCCCACAAACATATTATTTTTATTGATTAAGATCAGAATAATTAAAAGTCGCCTTTGACTGATAGTCTAGGGGAGGTCAATATGGTTTAGCCAATTATTTATTCTAGTCATTGGTTTTATATTGGAGGCTTTCATCTTAACTCCCAATGGATTCTTTATTCAGTACTATGCAAATGGCAATGCATGGTATCTCCCAGATGGAGCTTATGAAGCACTGTACCTTCTCAAAGATGCAGGAGGTTGTAATTATCAATTATTATCCTTTGTCTTGCTCCACAAACAATAGTAACAACCAGAGTTTGACAATGAATTGCCATTCCTGACTTGTTGAGTAATGTCACAGTTAAGGTGGTCGTTGTGTCCAATTTCGACACCCGCTTAAGGAAGCTATTGCAGGACCTAAATGTTATTGAACTGTAAGCATTTGTTTTTATTTTTCTTTCTTTTTTCTGTATTTTTACAGTTTAGTAGTTCTCTTCGTGAATGGGCTATTCAACAATGGTGGCAGACTTAATACTCTTTACAAGGCCCAAAAGACCTCCATCTCATCCCGACCACCATTTGGAAATAGAACATTAATTACACTTCCTGCTTTTTTCTATAGCACTCTGTAATCTAAAATTTTTATCCTTTTCCTTGTGCAGTTAATGTTGGTCCTCTGTCCTTAAGGCTTTTGCATTTTCTGTGGATTAGTCTAATCTAGAGGAAAATAAACTTTTAGAAACTCATTTCTTTTTGTTATGCCTGTGATGCTTGAGACTTTCTTTGAGGAATATGCATTATGAGTGAATAATTGGGGTTGCATATAGGAAATGGCCGGAGTTTGATAACTGAAATGAGATGGCTGGGGTTATCAAGTACTGAACATCCTTCTATTTAAAATATGTGCTATTTTTTTTTCACAGGTTTGATGCGCTAATCATATCTTCAGAGGTTGGATATGAAAAACCAGATCCGAAGATATTTAAAGCTGCTTTAGGTATGTCCTATAAGACCATCAGTTTTTGTTAGCAAAATATTAAAAGAGAAAAAGAAGAGAAAAGTAAACTACAATAATGATTTGTGGAAGTGGACATTTGGTTTATTTGTGGGTTGTGGGATGCACCTTAAAATTTCTATGGTAGAGTACTTAACACTAGTATGCGCCTTCTTGCACTATAAAAGCTAAGGAAATATTCCTCAAAAGTAATTGGCATTTTTGTAGATGAAGCAAGTGTAGCGGCTGGCAAAGTAGTACATGTTGGAGATGATCTAAAGGCAGATAAGCAGGGGGCCAATGCCATTGGGATTGATTGCTGGTAAGTGTCTTATTAGATATGATAAATGGGTGGGTATAGGTTGGGTATGAATGGGTTGTGAAATATTTGACCCATTTATCCATTTATGATCAAGTTATTTTTCTAATGAGTACCTATACCCGTTAACCCGTTTTACTTTGATCTTATTAAACAAGTATTTTTTACAATTGCATTTTTATTATGTTTGACCAGGCTGACTAAATTCGACTTGTTTGACCAAGTTTAGCAATATTTAATGGAGGTGAACTTTTTTAGATGCAGAACCTAATTGTAGAACGTTTTTAATACGGGAAGTTAAATTTACTTATTAAAAATATGAAGGCCAAAAAATTTCCAGTGAGCCTATTTGTACAACACATGGACCAAAAATAAACATTTGAGAAAATTCCAGGGATTAAAATGAAAATCAAACTGAAAGCTCTGTTCTCCTATGCCATCTGTAATTCAGGCTGTACTTCTAAATCGGGGTGAATGGGTACCAACCCGGTTAAACTTTTTATAAATGTGGGTGGATTGATCCTTACCCATATATATCCACTTATATTTTATTTCCTATCCATTTGTTAATGGATGAATATAGATGGGTAAATGGGTATATGTCATTATTGCTACTTCTAACGGTCTTGTACATGCATTTCTGCATGCTTCTCGTACTTTGTCTTGTTGGATACCTTCCCTAGCCACATTCGACATGAATTTCTAAAAAATAAATTACATTATGGTGTGAGACACAATGTGCCATCAAGTAGATAAATAAATGAAATAATGACATGTGATACCTTTTGAAGTATTATTATATGTCACATAAGATGTTTGGATATGGGTCATAACCCCTGCACTATATGTGTAAGCAGGTTATGGGGAGCAGATGTGAAGACTTTCTCAGATATCAAACACCGAATCCTCATCCATGATTAATACTCCAAAGAATTAGGTATCAATGCCATTTTTTCTTAGTGGTAATTGATTTTTGTTTACATCTTCCGTTCAATTTTTGGGCAAAATTTAGTTCTGCTATACAACTTAGGAGTTTTTTTTTTCGATATATATACAGGCAGTGGGATACCTTCAGGTCAGTTTTCGTATTAATCAAGACTAAGCCCACCGCTTCTTAGGCGAAGCCATTGGCAGAATATTTTTAATTAGCTTTTGATCGACTACTGAGCTCCTGCATAGACCAAATGGCTTAAGCTTGGTATCATTAAAGAATAATTATGACTAGTTATCCGTGGATAGTGGTAATTGAACTTTGGTCTTGGCTAAATCAAGGGAATCCCCTTACCGTTATAAAATTTAGGATTTATCATGCCATTTTTAAGAGTTGGGACCTCTCCTCTTGTATGATCGATGAATCCTGTATGATTATTGATGTAATATCTTGGTTCTTGGAAAGAAACCTGGCCAAGAGAAATTCCTCCGTTACTACAATTTGATTCTGCTATAAAATTTTAAAGTTCAGCTGGTTGGATATGGTGGATGGAGTTCCTGCTTTTTATTACTCCAATGCCATTAGTGAGGTCATCACAATGTAGCTTCTGTTTGGACATGATTGACAGAAAGAGCAACAAAAGTAGTTGCATGCATTGCATGTGATTGTCTGATTTTTGTTGTCTATTTTTCACAAATAAGCAAATTCTTTAAACTCTAGTTTTTGTTTTCTACTAGGTTACTTTTATTTCAAATTACAATTTGAATTCCAACTGTAAATAAAACTCATAAGATGTTCATTTAAATTTGCCTGTAATCATTGTTCTATCATCTTTTTTTTTTTTTTTTTTTTTTTTTGAGACTGTGAAAGTACCATATCAATATATTGTATTTTGGGCTTCAACAACTACGATGCTGCTCCTGAATTGTGCAAATCCATTAGTTATTTTCAGTTGTTTTGTTGACGAGGCAGAGAAGACCAGTGCTGATGAGGACATCGAAAATGAACCTGTGGCTTAGATCCCTTATTTTATGGCATTGGTTATTGCTAGGTGGAAAAATTTTATAATACTTAAATAATAACTAATAGCATGTATAGTAATTATTTTGTAAATTTATTTTTAATGAAAGAGACAGACACATTCTTATTTTTAGGTTTGTTCAATTTTTTTTTATGTATTTATCTTTTTTTTTTATTAAGTGAATATATATAAAATAACTGCAGTATTTGCTATTAATTAGTTTTCGAGTATTATAAAATTTCTTTTGGGAGGTCCCACTTCGAGGGGAGACGTGGCCGATGACCCCTTAGTTATTTTCAGTTGTTTAGTTGACGAGGCCGAGAAGACCAGTGCTGAAGGGGACTTCGAAAATGATCCCTTATTTTATGGCATTGATTACTGCCAGTTCCCCTCTTCGAAGGGAGAGGTGGCCGATGCCCCTTAATGGAATATTATCTTCGGAGGTTTTGTCAATCTCTCTTTTTGACTCATTCGCGTACACTTTACGTCAATCTTTGCACAAAAAAGTAACTTTAAATCAATCTGACTTTGCAACTGCTCAAAGGCTGCAGGTTGTGTTCTGAAGACAGCTTTAATGATTGTATGGGTGTACTTGTGAGTCTTGGACGACTCTGCAACTGCTTAGATTGCCAGGCCATGCTCTGAAGAGTGCTGCAAGGTTATTCTCTCTCTCTTTTTTTTTTTTTTTTTGGTATGAAGCTGGTTGCAAGTGATGATGTTTTTGGTACTCAAAAAATGAGTTACTATACTTGCAAAGAAATGTGCGTGGGATAGCTGATACATTTGTCGTAATGCTCAAATTAGCAAGATAATCCAATCAAGTAAGCTTTGAAAAAAATCTTACAAAGTAGAAAATTTCATTCAAAATTGATTCAATTGCAAAAAATAGAATGCAAACGTCAAATGTTCAACTGTTAAACATGAAAGTTCGACAGTTTATTTTAAATAAATAAAATTGGATAAAAAGAGGAAAAGACTAACAATAAATTGATTATGACTAAATTAGAAACTGAAGCCAAAGTCATATAATTTTTACTTTCATTTTTCTGATGGCTCTGGCAAAGGATTTCCATCAACGTTGGATGTACAATCTACGAGTTCAAATGTAACGAAATCAACGTTCCCGAGCCTTTAGAATTAGATTTTGAATCGCAAACACCTCTCTAATGTCCGATTAAGTGCTCCTTACGTTTCAAACTACTTCAGAGGTGGATTGAAGATTAGTTACGGAAGCTCTGAAAAAATTAGTTTTTTTTTTACCCCAACATTAGGCTTCCTGTCTTCATTGGGACCAAATGAGTGGGACGAGTTGTGTTTGCAACATGACTAATGCTATATAAACAATCACTTCATGTAAAATTTTTAAACAAATAGACATTACAGTTACTTTTTCTATACGAGACTAATTAATCATTTAAAATTTACGGAATCTATATTTTACCATTTATATATAATAATACATCAATTTGTATGAAAAAATTATTTGTAAATCTTTTTCTTGCCACATTACCTAGCCCAGTTTATGAATTTTGATCGCTAGCAGGAGGTGGTTGGTACGAGAAAGACAAGATTCACTTCATTTACATACTGCATGGCTGGCTGAGTCTAAATGGAGCATAAGCCCTTTTGACTTAGCATTTACCTCTCCTTCATTTTTTTTAATCTCTCTTCAAGGGAAATGACTTTTTAAAGGTATTCTCGCTTTTAGGCAGTTTTCCACTCCTTAGAGTTGTTTTTGAAGTCACACTCCCAATCATCTTTCAAAGAACGGTTACTCTTGCATGTCTAGAGTGTCAACAAAAGCAGTGATCGGTTCTCGCTCGATTAACAGTGCCTGAACCTGAGAAGTAACCCAGCATCATCTCTACGTAGATATACCTTGTTCCTTGAAAGTTATAGAATCTTTCTTGTACATTGGAGCTCAATTTGTTAGAGAAAATATCAGTGTGGAAGCGATAAAGTGGAAATACATGTAGTTGGGGCTTATGAGGGTAAATTTGATTTACGCTATAGAAGAGAAGTTGTATCGTCTTTGCCAACCATGGCTTAATTCTATTGGTTTTTTTTTTTTTTTCTTTCTGGAGAGTTGTAGGGCGTGTCAGAAGGTGATTGAATGACAGGTGTGAATTAGTCTTTGAGAAAAGTTCGATGAGAATCTTCGTAGGAGATGGATATTTTTTGTTTGGAAAAGGTTAGGCGAACTTGGGTAGGCTAACTTTGGGTTAGGACAGGTGGGTTCTAGGCTGGGATAAGATTAAAAAAATACGCGTAGGAGAAAGATTTTTCTTATCACCTTTTCTTTTTACCAGATATTTCGGTTTTTTTTTTTTTTTTTTGTGTCATAAATGTAACCTGTGAAAATGCATTAAATAAAACCTAAAAAACAAAATAACCTACAAAACGAAAAGGAGAAACCGGGGAAAATATCAATCAAACAAGTTTTCATTTGTCAGAAAAAAAAAATGGTAACTAATCTAATTCCCATCATTACACAAAAGATAAAGAGCAGAGCCTCGTTGGGACAACATTAAAAGCCAAAAGACATCATTTGGTCAAGGTGCCAAATGAATGATGCTTTTTTTTCTTCTTTTTTAGTTTAGGAAAATTCATAAGAATATCATATCGTAGGAGTATAGTAAAAGCAAGAGGCTTCGATGTGAAAGATTGAGAAAGGAAAGAAGAAGGAAGGTCATGGTGACATACACGTCATGGGGGAGCTAATCAAGTCCCCACTACCGACGCGTTTCTAGTGTCTGTGTTCACACACGCACCAAGCAAGCTGCACCTCCGGACAGGACTCTTTCTTCTCTTTCTTCTTCTTCTTCTTCCTTCACCAACAGCCCGTCGTCCATTTTTATTTTTATTTTTTGTATCAAGGTACCTCCTTTCTTCTTTCTTGTACTCGTAAGATAATTTAATTTCTTGCTTCTGCATCTATTTTAATCAAAATATTACACTAGCAATAGTCCTTTTTTGTATTTATACTTGACCAAACTCAAAAATAAACAACCGACAAGTCTTCGTCTTTATCTAATTATTATGTCATATGATATGATATGGTGGTTACTTCTTGATTTTTCTCACTAAAACACCAGGAGAAGAAAAAGGGAAGGGGAAATACCGATTGCTTGCTTTGCTTTGGTTTGCCAATTACTAAATGGGCAACTGCTTAGATTCTTCTGCTGCCAAAGTTGATTCCACCCTGAGTTCACATACTCCAGGTAACAATACTTTTGCTTCTTCTTTTTTAAGCTTAACTGTCTTTGTATCTTCTAGCTTTCTTGGATTTTGGCTTTTTATTTTCTTGCTCAGATTCATTCTGTCGTTACAGCAACTGCTTTTGGCTTCCTGTTTGTGAAGCAAAGAACGAACTCTTTTAAGCTTTCTGTGTGATAACTAACTTTTGTCTGTCAATTCTGTTGTACCTGGTAAGTATTTCAAGAGAACCCTAATGTTATTTGCTGTTTTTGCATTTTTGGATTCTTCGTCTACTTTAGGATGATTCGATGTGGATGGCTCTCTTCAATATTAATGTGTATTATCTTCTATTCTTCTTTAAGAAGCAACTTTGTGTCCTATACTTGTGATTTGATATGTTTGCTTATGGCTGACTAGACTTCAATCTCTGTGAAGAATGGTGATAAATCAATTTAAGTGATTGCGTCCAACTTGATGATTGCGTGTTTACTTCGTGCCATTACACCCGTGAAGGGTTCGCTGTAGAATAGAATCAGATATGGCTTTTCACGAAATTATGTTTTAGCAACTTTTAATCTCTCGGCATACTTAATTATGCTAAGTAGCATTCCTTTTTTCCTCCTCCTCTCTCCTCATATTTATTTGGAAGCGCATTTTCGTTGCTAAGGATTCGCATTTTGAACAGTAGAGTCATAGGGAAATGTGCTGTTTATATATGCCAAAGACTGTTTTTCAAACTGTTCTGTAAACTTTTTAAAGATTTACATTGTCATCGTTGGAAAGCATACTGTACTGTCCCAAGGATTTCAATTAGAAGCTCAAAGAGCTTGTTTGGTTAGTCTGGACAGCCTGTGTAGTTTTGCTGGGTGCGCTGCTGAAGATATATATATATATATATATATATTCTATAGGCATATACTTCACACCAGGCATTGGTGTTGATAGGGATATGATGCCTAAAATGTTGATTCGTTTATCTCTTGTTACTATCAGGAGCCTCAAGAATTTCCAGCAGAACAAGCCGTTCTTCAGTTCCTTCTAGTCTGACCATCCCATCATACAGTGAAAGAAGCAGTGAATGTCTTCCTACACCTAGGAGTGAAGGTGAAATATTGTCATCACCAAATTTAAAAGCCTTCACATTCAATGAGCTAAAAAATGCTACCAGAAACTTCCGTCCCGACAGTCTTCTTGGTGAAGGTGGCTTTGGTTATGTTTTCAAAGGATGGATTGATGAACACACTTTGACTGCTGCAAAGCCTGGATCGGGAATGGTTGTTGCAGTCAAGAAGCTTAAACCTGAAGGTTTCCAAGGCCACAAGGAGTGGTTGGTAGGTTTTTTCTCTTCTGAAATTTAATATTTTTCAAACTGAAGTGTCCTGTTTCTTACATACTATTAGCTGGCTGGTATCAGACAGAAGTTAATTATCTTGGCCAACTTCATCATCCAAATCTGGTTAAATTGATTGGATACTGCTTGGAAGGTGAGAACCGGCTTCTGGTCTATGAGTTCATGCCTAAAGGGAGCTTAGAGAATCATCTGTTCAGAAGTAAGTAATCCAATGCATCGAATTGATTTGGAAGCATTGTGTGCCATGACTTGTCCAGCTATGTGCTTGTACTTCTTGAAACTTTGATCCTTATGCTTTGCGGTTGCTGAGAAATAGAAATTAAGAACCTTTCCCACTCTTCTGTTCTAGTTCATGGAATAGAAATAAACTAATCTGTTTAACTTGTGTGCTGAATTGATTTATTTTCTTCCATGGTGAATCAAATGACAAAAAATTAAGAACCGCAATTTTGTTTCCTCTGTTCTATGCGCAGCCAGATCTGAGATTAGGTATGTCCTTTTTTATTTCTTATCTATCTCAGATGGATCTTTTTGGTTAATATCAGCCACATTGCAATTGGAGACAGCATCTTCTATTTGAAATCTGGTTTCTCCATTCGTGCTATGGTTCTTTAGTTGTCAATGGATCATAGGCTAGACAATCAATAACCCTTAGACATACATTACTAGCCACTCACCCTTATGGATAAGTTTCCCTGTTAGCAACGAGGATGAGTCAGGGACTGATTTCCCAAATTTTCTTGGGACCATCTTCACTTGAATGGATATCATCATTCCCAATTTTTCCCTGAGATCAAGGGCCAGTTGGCCTGCCCCTATGAATATCTGAGGTATGGGATGCAAAACTTCTAATTGATTTGGGTCCTCAAATTGTG